AGCCCTCTAGTATTTAAAAAAAAAAAATAAAACAATTATAAAAATATAGCCTATTGATTGCCAAGCATTTTAGACAAATTAGAACAAAAATTTCCTTAATGAGCAGCATTTTTAGTAGATAACAAAGAGCACCTGTTCTTTATTTGTGATTGGGATTTCTTTTTTCTAAAGTTCAATTTTTTAATATTTTAATTTACAGTACAGGAAAGCAATCAGACCACTTGAACTTATTTTGAACATGCCACTATACTTTTAGAAAAGAGCTGAACTTAACACAGTTGTCTAAAACTTTAAAAACAAGATTTATAAATTAAACTAGAATAATTAACTATAAAAGAATTATTATATTACATAAAATGTAAGTTAAATTAAAAATATTTTTATAAACATATTCAGTAGTTTCACTTCAGGTTATTGATGCTCTTGTAAATTGTTTTTAAATACCATTACTTTTTGAACTCTCAATTGGAATCATTTCATTCTACGAGAATCAGAAGATTTAATATTCTGTTTATAAAATTGCAATTTGAATAACAATATTTTAATTTAACTATATTTTAAACAGAAATTAATGTATTTTTAATTTAAGTATTTCGCTGTTTAGAATTTTAAAATTTCTGAGAATAAGACATTGTTAAATGAATTAAAATCAGTTTAAATAAACTGTACTAAGACATCAAATTACTGGTAGAATTCCAGTAATTTCGGATCTTATTCTTTAGCACAGGGGATCTGATTTCATTTTCTAAAAATATGACAACTAGTTCATGCTAGAAAAATTTATTTAACTTAAGTTTTTTTCTTCTTTATAGTATCATTCATAAGTCCTATAAATTCAGAAATAACAAACTGGTTAGAAATGATTATATAGTTCGATTATTCTGGTAAAATTTGTGAATGGTCCTCTATTCCAATATACAGTGGAAATAATTTTTAGACATTTTTTATTTACTTAGAATATATAAATAATATTTAAACATTAGAATTTCTTTAAAAAAAGAAAATATGATGTAAATATTTATTATTTACAAGGGGAAATGTAATTTTCTAAAGCATTAAAACTAATCGGAAAAAAACATATTAACTTCTGTTTGCTTCACTTTTAAGTTTGTAATCTATTAATAAATTAAAAAGATAATGTAAAAAATTAATTGCTCTAGCTTCCTTAATTACCAAAAAATTACGGTTTGAAGAGTTGTGGTACATAGATCTTCTACTTTTGCAAATTATTACAATTTTAGAATTGGTAATTATATCTCATGATGTAAATCGGGTCAAAAAAGTGCAATTCTCCAGATGCGTGAACAAGGGTACATCTATTGAAGTTACAATCTATGAAGTTATATACAACAGATTGAAAACTTAAGAAAGTATGGAGAAGATCAACCTGAAGAATCATGCTTGTTGTATTCATATATATTTTCCCAAGTGCCATCTGTTTCTTTCCAGATAATGACCTTTCTATCGTAGGAACAAGATGCCAGCATAACACCAAACATTGGGTGAGCCCAAGCAACTTGCCACACAGGTGCATCATGGCTAGAAAAAAAAAACATATACATACATATTTATTTAGATTAATAATTTTACCATACAACTTTTATTGTTGAGTCTTATTTTAATTATCTGCAGAATTTGATAGCATGACAATCACAGATAAATGATTCCTACAAATAATCTATAAAATGATCAAGAAATGCCTCCCCTATGTTAAAACAGTTCTTCTTGATTCGTAAGTAAGGACCTTTACATTTTGTTGATTCAAAAAAGGAATTTTTCATGAAAAAAGAGAAGTAAAAATAAGGTTGTCTCAAATCAAATCACAAACAAGGTTTTGGGAGAAATTCAGGCATTCTTATAAAAATTTTTGATCAAAAAAATTTCATGCGAGATTATTTATTGTTAAAAAAAATATTTTATGCCAGTTTGTGTACTTATTAGTTTGAATTCCTTAAGTTTATGAATGGAACCTTAAATTTAATATAAAAAATTATTACTATTTCAATACATTGTTATTTCTATTATTTTTACACATATGCTGGTCTATTCAAGAATCATGTAAAATCAAATAATTTTTTTTTTCTTTGCTTTTATTATCAAAAATTTTTTTACAATATATAAGCTTTACTTTCCAAAAATATTTGGAAAAAGTTATTGTACTAGGAAAGAAAAATATGCTAACATTTTTGGGGAAATTTCAGTAAAAAAAAACTATGTTCTGAGGAAGTATTAGGCTTTGAGAATCCTTTGAACCCCTTGCTTATCTATAATTGAATATTTTCAATACATCATAACTAATATATTCCTGATAAGTAAACTAATTATAATTTACAAGGTCCCGGAGGGGACTGATTGTTAAGACACGGTTCCCAGCAGATCACCGAAGCCAAGCATCACTGGCTACGGTCAGTGTGCGGGTGGGTTACCACTTGGATCAGCCTGCGTAGGGATCGAGGGTGTGCGGTATTGGTCCTCTTTAAACTGTTCTACCGTAAAGTGCTCAACTTCGTGTGCAGGTCGTCGGGCTACCGAAGCAGGGGTGCCCTCCCCTCTGCAGAGGATCAAAACTGTGATGGCATGTCTTCAGATCATCCTCAGGGATGTTTCCCAGACCGTCGCCAATAGCTGTGCAGCTCTAGAGCGATGTAAATGAACAACAAAATATAATTTACAAGAAATAGAAATCTTTATTTAAAAGAGTTAATAATTTTTTCAATTAATCAATTTAAAGCTTTAACTAAGTTACTATCAATATTTCAATTATTTAGCATAATAATTAGATTAAATTTCGTAATAATGTATTATTTTGATATGTCTAATGGTTTTAGTATGTCTATATTCTAGTCCATGCAGCTCAGCCTCAATTAAAAGAGTAGTTCAAAATTTTGGTCTTACTAAACTGAAAAATGAATAGGTAGTATGGAGGGGCTTCAAAACTATTCTTTTGCAATCACATTCTTTGATGAAGAGTTAAAATTGATTGGAGTGAATGAAAGTTGATTTTACATATAATGAATAAGATGATAGATAATAGTTTTTTTTTTTTTTAATATTGTCATTGCATTTTCATTTTCAGTAACTAAACAACTTAACAGATTGGATAAATTGCAATTCTATACATAATTTTATTAATTGCAATTTTATTTATAATTATTTAATATTTTTTACACCGAAATTTAAATTTTTGAGAACTGTCGAGACAAAATGAGAGTTAATGTCAAAATAATTCAAAAACGTAATTCATCATAATTCATATTTATATTAACTAAAAATTATCCTGAAACCAAAATTTTGGGTCCCTGACCAATGTCAAAAAGGGGTTTATAAGATGGCAGTTAAAACTGAATAAAATCTTTTATTGTCAAAAACTTGCCAACCCTGCCAATAGCACAATTCGAAATTTGAATAGTATAGTGCTGATATTTCAAGGTATTAAAAACCATGCAGAAATTACTGCTATAAAAACCAAAAGAAAACATGCTGATTTAAGATAGAACTAAACACATTTTAAAAAAAATATTTTGACTTAAGTAACTAAAAGAGGCTAAGGCAAAATATTTAAAATTTTAATTTTCTCTAAAATTTGTATTTTACAAGATAAATTGTATAAAAATTTTGAAATTCTGCATGACATACATAAAATACATACTATGAAAACAGCTTTTTTTTTTAATTTTTTAGTACTAAGTTAAATTTAGTTAAACGAAATTTTCGTCTTTAAAAAAGATGGTCTCTTTTAGATTTGTCAACATTTTACAAAATAATTAACCAAAAAATGTATTTAAATTAGCACTTAACACTCTTTTTGATGTTTATTGTTGATTAACACATAAGGTTGCTCTACGTACTTATTTTTCAAATTTTAAAGGGCTTTAAAAAATGAAGAAATATGCATTTTACAAGCACTTATTTTACTTATTTATTTTTAACAAATCACCCTCTACATGCACATACATAGGTCATGGTCAATAGGTGAAAAAGTGAACCAGTGATAATCTCAGTCTCGTTCAAAATGTTTTTTTTTTTTATGTTTTTTTTTTTTTTTTTNTTTTTTTTTTTTTTTTTTTTTTTTTTTTTTTTTTTTTTTTTTTTTTTTTTTTTTTACGCATGGGAAAAGCAAGAACATTTTCTGACAGATGGTTTTCTGATAATTGGTTATTTGCAGCAGTTTTGTTGGTCTTTCTTAGAGAACTTTTTAACATTACATTGACAGGACAAAAAAAGAAAACAGTTAATCAAAAGAGTGGTTGTTGAAGAAGGAGGTAGCCCAAGCATGAAAACAATACACAGTAAAAGAATTCAAATTTTGAGGTACAGTGATCAAAAAAAAGGACCACCCCAAATAACTTTTGATCTAATGATCGGATCTTCACGTTCCAGGACTCAATCTTAATGGCTCAAGGTGGTAACATCAAATTTGCTAATTAATATGTACAGATAGTTTTTTAAGTTACAAAACCAGATACAAAAAACATACTTTTTACTGAATAAAGATAACTTTTTTTCAACGGATTTGGATTTCTGACCCCTAAAATATAGGGAGTAACTGCAATCTGGGAAATAGGGTCAACATAGTTTGGTCAGGAGAGCAGTCCAAAGTTTTGACCCCTAACTTTTAATTTTTGCATAATTTGCTATATCTCTGGATCAATTGAAAAATTTTTGCACACAATTATAAAATTCGTTAATTTTAAGATAATACTGTGCAAAAAATAACCTTCATTAAATATTCATTATTATTCATTAAATATTCATAATATGAACTGTACGGTGTACAATTTAAGGATTTATTAAAGAATATAATTTTTTGTGGCAAAATAAAAAATTTGAGCAAAATTGGTCAAATTTTTAATGAGAAATCAAATTTTAAATATCTGACTCTTTTGGAATTCAATTTGTCAAGAACCATTCAATCCATTTTACTTAGATTTTGTATTCTCCCATGTAAAATTATATCTTTAAAATGATGCAAAAAAATTTTTGCCTTACAACTCAAAATTTTTTCAACCATTATTAGAAAAAATAATAAATAAAAATACTTTATGAAGGTCATTTTTTACATGGAATTATCGTTGGACAAACGAATTTCATAATTAAGGACAAAAAATTGTCAATTCAGTTAAAAAGTTATCAAAATATAGTGCAATACTCAAAAAGTAATATTAACATTAAGGCGTCAAAACTTTGGACCACTCTCCTGCCCGAACTATTGGGACCATATTTCTTAGATTGCGGCTACCCCCTATATTTTGGGGGTCAGAAATCCAAATACATCAGGGAAAAAAGGTATGTTTATTCAGAGAAAGTACGTTTTCATGTCTGATTCCGTATCTTAAAATATCGTCTTCACTTACTAATTAACTTATTTGAAATCACCCCATCTAACCATTAAGATTGGTTCCTAAAAGATGAAGATCTGAGCATTAAACTAAAAGTTATTTAAGGTGGTTCGTTTTCTTTTCTTTTTGGCGCACTGTACAATAGTGAAAGCACACCATGCAAATGCCAGAATGCTGCTTGGTAATGAGATCTTTAGGCTTAAAACTTATAAATTGAAGCCTGAAGATTATTTCACACAAAAGCACTTAAATTAGCTTTTCCAAAACACAATAAATATGTCATGGGAAATGGTTATTTGGCTAATTGAAAATATGAATATAAATTAGAATATTTTAACTTTAAACTAACTTCAAAAAATTTATAAATTTAAATTAAACTTTATATTAACTGAATATGTCAATATAAATTGAAGAGTCAAATTTAAACATGATAAATAAGCAGTCATATTTACCCTTTTAGAGTAGCAACTATCTTTTGTGAGCCACTACGAACATCAAATATTTTAACAGTTTTATCAGAAGAACAGGTAGCCAATCTGATGCCATAATAATCCATTTGGGCATCATGCTTAAAAAAGGAATTAAATAATTAAAAAAAAATTTTAAAACATACTGCAGATAGGAAAATACTACCAAAATCAAATTTAATTTAATCATGCTGGAAATTATTTAAAAGTCAAGAAAAGTGAGTCGTAACCCTTAATAATTTTTGAATTCTCACTGCTATATGTAATAAAATTCAGACATAGCATTTGCACAACACAAATTAAATAAATTTTATTGAATAAGTGAATCTATAAAAAATGCAGAACATTTAAATGAAGATACTATTAAGCTTAATTAATGAAATAATGTCAAGAAATAAGTTCTAAACTCAGTTTATAATAAATTTTAGTCAAGGGAGATATTACATTCATAACGAGAGCATTAAATCATATTTTAAAAGTTTATAATTTAATAACTGCTGTTTTTTTTTTTTTTTAGTTATGAAATTAAAGGATCAGTAATGATTACTCACTTTAATTTACTATTTTTATAGAGGGAAAACTATTTCTACAATACTAGACTGTTTTTATAATGGTATAGCACATATACTATATTAAAAATAGCAAGTACCATACAATTTTTACAATAATAAACTTTACTATTCTTACAATAGTAAGTCTGACAATGACTACCTACATATATCCTACCTTAATTTAGCCAATCCTAAGTGAGCACACAAAAACATATTTATTGAGAAGAAATAATACATTTAAAAGAAGCTAGAAAAATTGCTTATAGGAAAATGCAATACAATATGCAGAAGAAATAGAGATATAAATTAATAGGAACAAAATAAATTTTCTAAGACAAAGACTAATATTACGAGTCAAGCATTTAACATTTACTTACAATCATATCTGAGTGACCGGTGTCAACATCTTGGATGATATTTCCTAAGAAAAAAATAAAATGAAGACTCATAATGATATAAAAAGTTTCATTAAAATTCAAAAATAAGAAAATCTTTCAGAAAAAATAAAACCAAACAAAATCCATGTTTACCAGTGGTCATGGTCTAGGAAGATAATTAAAGTTCCACAAAATTAAACCACAGTCTTCGGTAAAATACTAATTTCGGAAACAATTAACCTGAGAAAAAAACGACGTGTATCAACTTTATTGTTGATGATGACAACTTTTCCATTCTATTCCGGTCAGTGAGAACAAACGTGGAGCGAAGCCATCATCTAGTATTTTCAGTTTAACAACAGTATTATTGCAAATATAACACTAAATTACTCTGAAAAACTGTAATGCGTTTATATAGCTTAGATTACGAACGCAACATTTCAAAATATATATTTCTTACAGTTTACAGTTAACAAAACAGTCAATATAATTAAAAAAATTGTTTTAACTATGGCATCTATTTACAACAAATTTTAATAGGGGACCAGTTATATTTAAAGCTGTTGAATGGAACAAAAATAGAAAGAGTTGTTCTTCCGAATTCAATTCTTTTCAAAACTGAATTAATCATTAATCATGTCAGATTTTACGCATAGCGTCGTTTTGTTTACCGGAGATGATGGATTATCTTTGGAATTTAATGTCCGTAATACAAATGAAAAATCTCATTTAAAAGCTTTAATAGAACATGGCGGAGGTATTTGTACACAAAATGAAAACTCTGTGCACCTAATAAGTCCTGGTACAAAAGTCTTAAATGCTGATTTGGGTAAAAAACTTGTTAGCTCCAGTTATATTTATGATTGTGTCAAGCGAAACTATTTATTAAACGTGAACGAATATGTATTCACGATATCAGAAGCACAAACTAGTGATATCAGTGACGAAGATAGTGGACTATTCGCTCAACGTCAGTCAACATGCAAGTCGCCTAAGAAAAACATTCCAACGATGAATGTTGAAGTTAGTCCGATAAAACAACCTAATGTTAGTAATGAGACTACACCCTCGAATTTAACACTCCCTTCGAGTAACAGTGCAGTGGCACCCATTTGCAACTCATCAGAGAGTTTTGTTGAAGGTAGTCAAGATAATTCTACCAGTTACAAAATAACATCCCACGTTTACTACGGCAATGTAAATAATCCAGCTAACGAAAAAATCAAAACAAAGGAAGGTTTGCTAGAAAATTCTGAAGAATTCAATCCCTCCCAATCTCTTGTTTATCCATCAAATCCAAAAGACTTATTAAGGGGCAATATTAAAAATACTTTGAATCTTTCTTCACCATCAAAGCCATCAGACTTAATAAATGTTAGTCCTTTAAACCTTTGTTCGCCATCAAAGCAAGCTGACTTAATAAATTTTAGTCCTTTAAACCTTCGTTCACCATCAAAACCTGCAGATTTAATTAATATTAGTCCTTTAAACCTTTGTTCACCATCAAAGCCAGTTGAATTGATGAATGCTACAAGATCTTTAAATCTTCAGTCTTCGTCAAAACAGTCGGACTTATTGGTTGACACCGTGGAGAACACGTCAATTCTTCAGTCACCAGCCAGAAATATTCCCGATGTTTCAGCTCTTCAGCCCACTTCTCCACGAAATTCCATGAAAACGCAAAAAGAAAGAATTTTTTCTTCCCCTAAAAAGCTAATTGATATCTCACCCATAATGCGAGCTGATACTAAAAAAGTCAACAAAAATAATATTAACCAGCGTTTAGAATTACCCGTAAGGAATCCCTTTCAGGAAAAAACTGACAATGTGCTGATGGAGGAAGAATGTGGGGAAAATTCAGAAAGAGATACCGAAATCAACATTGATATGAACATAGGTATTTCCTTGCCTGGAAATCAGTTATTATCTTCTGCTTCACCTATAAAAATTACAGATTCCTGTTTTGAAAGTCAGAAAGGAGTGTCGAATGAAGCTGAAATGGCACACAATGCATCAGCAGTTGTTTCAAGTTCTCAGCCAGAAGATGGGTTAGATAATTTTGATAATATGCTGTTGAATAAAGCACTTCACAAACCACAGTCTGAGGTAAAATAAAAAGTTTAAAATCGTTATATAATTTTTTATTCTAACAAAAATGTCAACCCATAAAAGTTATAGATTTTTTTACTATTATTATTATTTGCAATCAATATCCCTGTCGCAAAATTTTTTCGGGCTTTCTGCGGCAAACTTCCCTAACATTAATGATATATTTTTCTTTAAGTTTCTTTTAATTATAACAATTACTAATTTAAAGTAACAGAAACGTTGTGTTTATAGAAGAAAGTGTAGAATAAAAACATATAAAACATTTTAATTGTAAAGGTAATATTTTTTAATTCTAATATTAAAGGCATTTTCTCACATTTTGTAGGTGGAAAAATGCCCTAATTATTTCCCCTTTCTAATTTTGGAGATCATTACAATATTTAAAATTCATAAATAAATTTAACGATAATAAATTAAAATTTGTACATAGATTAAAAATCGTAGTATAAAGATCGATGACAAAAATCATGCTAATAGGACTAAAATCTTTCTGCGAAAGCTATGTAACGTTCTGTGACGCCGCAATTCTACTCTGCCAAGGGGATCAATCTGAACTATTATTATTTTTCTTCTTCTAAACAATAGAGAGTTAAAACTAATGAATTTATTTTGTCAATCGAGTGAAATTGCAAATTTCAGGATTTACCTAATACATTTTTACTATAATGTAGCTGAAAAAATTACACCTTTTTATGGTACTTTAGCCAGCTCAAGTAAGTTCAACAATTTTATTTATTGAAATAAAAAATAGAAACAAAAAACAGTTGAATCTACTATTTTTCACAGGCGACTGTATAACCAGCAAAATGGATTATTCCTTCTTATCTTGATTTTTTCTTCTTCATCTTTTAATTTAGTACAGCCCTAAACTATAACTTTTGTCTATAGGCTTTTCCATTTTATTCTAAAAATTCGTTGATTTGATCAAAAATTATAGTAAATTAATGATACTTCATTATACATAATAAAATAAACATGTTAATTAAAACCTTTTTATTAGCTAGGTATAGAAAAAATCTAATATTTTTTATCTATTAACTCTTTTTTTAATAATTAAATTAAAAAATAGTTGAAATGTCTTACGTTGGGCAAACGAAAGGCACCATTAATACCTAAAATTGATACTCTTATTCCAATGATTCTGCTTAACTGTGAAAACTACTTATGAGAGTTAACCAGAGCTATCAAATTTCTAGGTCCTTTTTTACTAAAAGCAAATCCTTAAATAATACATAGCTCCCATTTGAATCCAAATATAGTCTACACGATGAAAATATATAATTAAAAAAAATCATCTGGGATATTGTTGAAATTCTTTTTATTTCTCTAGTAAATTCTTTTCCTCGTTATTCATTTATTAATATTTATGTTTATAAAGATCCTCTGTATTGAAAAACAAAACAAAGCGTTATATTCGAAATTAAAGTTTTTAATTGGGACTGATTTTGATAGTAGATAGTAAAGCAGCACCGTTATCATGAAAAGTAATAAATTTGATATTCAGAATTATTGTCATTCTCTTCTTATGTCTGGGGTGGCTATTTTATTCCAAAGGGGAAAAAACTGCCCTGAAAAAAGTTTCTTCCAACCCCCTCCCCCCGCCCCAAAAAAGTGGAAGAAATTCTTTTCAGAAAGAAATATCAAATGTCAAAACAGGTTAAATGACTGTATTAATTTTTAAGCTATTTAATCAGAGCCGGATTATACCTTTCGTAGGCCCTAGGCACAGAGTCGGATTATACTTTTCGTGGGCCCTAGNCTAGGCACGTGCCTAGTGTGCCTATAGGTTAATCCGGCCATGTATTTAATGTATCATTTTTTAATAAGCAAAAATATAAAATAAGTGCTTTGTTAAAAGTGCTGTGTTATAGTTAATAAAGAAGAAAACAAATAAAATCAAAAAGTTTTCAATTTTTAAAATGGTAAGTGTTTAAAAAACGGCAAATTCGACTTGCCTTGATATAATTTTTTAAAAATTAACATTGCAAAACTCGTGGTTCAGTAGGGCAATTGGAATACATAATAATACTCATTATTATTTAATACTTCCATTAAAAGAGAAACGTATTTCTTTTGACTGTTTTTTACCACTTTGGAAGAAATTTGCCACCCTGATTTATTTGTAACAATAATTAGACATTTCTTATGGTGAAAATTTTTATTTGATAGGATGAAGAAAGCCTTTCTCAGACTTGTACTGTTAGTAGCTCTGCCGATGCTCAAGTCTCATCGAAGCCTTGCTCTGCTGAAGTTAACAACACAACACAAGATAATCTCCCTGATTCACCTAACTTTATTTCAAGTAAGAACTTCTTAAGATTATATTCCTAAGTAGAAGTTTTATTCGGTTAAATAACAATACAGTACTGTAAAATACAATACAATAACAGTGCAATAACTAAATATAAAAAGTGGCAATTAAAAAGTTATTTTTTTGTGAAATTGCACCCCTTTTGACCAGGTATATAACACCTGGTAATTTTTTGAAGAAAATCTGAGATGGCATGAATCACCCCATAATGTTAGGTGTGACAGTTTCTCTGATTCTTGCTCTTAATAGATATGGAATTATCATGAGTTATTCATAAAAATTCAACGTTTATTATGAATTATTCATAATAATTCCATTGTAAAATCACTGGAAAGGAAAATAAATAAAAATGAAACTCAGTCAGCCCATAGAGAGCCAAGGCTTACTGTGCCCATCTCAGTTTTTTTACCTTGGAACTCTGGAATGCAAGAGCAGATGCTCTGGTTAGGTGGTCGGCCCAACGCGGAACCCCCAATGTTTAGTTTCCAAGCCTGCTTGACACTCATTTTATTGACTCACTAAAGGGATGAAAGGCTAAGTCAACCTTGCCCGGTCCGAGAATCGAACCGAGGAGCTGTGGTATGACAGTTTAAAGCGTTACCACTCAACCACAGCGCCTTGAATAATGAAGGGGAAAATAATTTTGTTATTGTGTTAGTATGTGTCTGTTACTTGTGCTTATGATTTTGTAGTTATTAATTTATGAAGATTCATCAACTATTTAGTCCCATAGTGAACTGATCATAAAGACACCATTCCCAGTAGAACACTAAAGTCGAGCATCAATGGCTGTGAATGAGCAGCTTGTGGTTGAGCGATATCATTAAACTATTTTGCCGTTAACTATAACATGTATATATAATATTCTACCTCATTAAACTATTCTATCATAAAATGCTCAACTTCACCTGCAGATGGTCAAGCTACCAAACCCGGGAAACCACCACCTCTGCAGAGGATGGAAATTGCGATGACATGTCAGATTATCCTCAGGAATATTTCTCTGATTGCCACAGATGGTCCATTCTGTAGTTCTAGTGTAGCATGAATAAATTACTACTTCATTGATTATTTTAAAAAAAATTTTACACAGTAAGAATTGGTTTTCCACTAAAATAGTTTAATATTGAACAGTTAACACTTAATTACTTATTTTTAGGCCAAGTAGTAAATGAAGAAGAGTACATTAGAAATTTGGCAGTTGAGGTTCAAGAAATCCTTGAAAAGCCACCACCTAGAACCATCCAGGACAAGATTACGCTTGTGAAATATGTCTGCTGTGTCCGTAAACTTACGCCAAAAACCGTTTTAGACTCATTGTTAACACAATCTGATTCTTTAGATCTATGACTAAAGTGATGTCTTCAAAAATATAAGGCCTTGTGCCTTCCAATATTTTTGCAAATATAATTTGTTAATGTGTTCAAAACTGTTCATCTTTCTGTTCATGTACTAAAGAAATATGTTTAATAAAAGAATTAATTATTAAATCTATATGTGTATTTTATTTATGTACTTAATTTAAATCAACCCATTTTTTTTTTATTTAAATAATCAGTGATTTAAGTCATGATTTTTTTTTAAAGAAATCAGTCATTTAAAAAGAATTTTAATATAAAATTGATTAATTTTTTATTGATTTTTTATAGTTTTGAAATTTGAAGAAAATATATTGTTGTGTTAATAAGTTTCTACACAAGTAAATTACAAGTGTGAAATAAATTCAACACATAAGACACCTTAAAATCATTTAATTCAAATGAATGCAAACTTAGAACATACTAAAAATTTAATAGAGTTATTGAATATGTATTTTTAAAGTTTAACAAAAAGAAGGAAAAAACTTATGTTATTTCACTTTTAAAGATAACACGGGTGGATCCTAGAATAGTCCACCCCGTGGCGAATTTTTTAAATATCACCAGGCAAGTCTTTGAAATCTCGCCAAACTATGTTTCGGGGAGATAATCTTGAACACCACGATTCCTCCACCAAAATTCTTAAACCTTATTGGTTATTTGATAAGTATATAAATACGCGAAAGTTGGATTTCATTAGAAAAGAGGTAAAAGTGTTTATTTTTTTGCCAGTTATGCTTCTGATCTCTTGCAGTTAGAATCATTGTTATTATTTCATTTTTTAACTATTATTTAATTTATTGCCGTTATTATTTTATTTTTTTGTGCGGAACCAGTTCAAAATGGTAAGCAATGCATGAGTGAATTTTTAACTTTAAAGAATGCAAAAGATAAGTGAGCTATGATTGAATGGTATATGAATCAAAATTTAACTTTAAAAGTGCATGAATGCCCTAAATGTAGAGAACAAATGAGTTTGAGCCATCAGAGTAAAGGTAAGTTATTTTTTATTCTATTAAAAATATTTTAATAGCTTAAATTGTTTTTTAATAATCAAAAAGGAATGTTGATCCCAGCAATAATCGCCAACTTGGCAAGATTTTTAAGAAGTCGCCAAGAGGTGGGCTATTCTAGGATTTTACTGATATCCCTAACAGTCAAAAATGGAGACATTTTTATGGGGCACCTTAAGGGTACCATGGTACACAATTTGGAAACTATATATAGCTAATAATTTGAACAAAATCATACCACATTATAAATTTAAAAGCCAAAAAAAAAAGGCCATATGAAATACCATAATGAAATTAACACAGTATATTGATAAAATCTATGCAATATAAAATTAAGAATATTAAAATAAACAGTTATTTGTTGAACTAATGTTTGACATTGCAGGTAATGGTGAGTCAATTTTAGAACCAGGATTCATATGATCAAAATCTGTTCCTAGTACATAGAGATCATGGTTACCTTTAGAGAAGCTATAATAAAATTCAAAATTCTACAAGCATTAATAGTAATACATTAAATGTTCACTATTAGTAACCCATTGTCAAAAGGTGCAGATAATGGCAAGCTATTAATTGACCAGTCAAACTTTAAATTTATAGTGGGTTTCCTCAATGAAAATGTGTGTCGATATTCAGAAGAGATAGATCTATGAAACACGCATATCATCCAACCATAGACGAGCACCTAGAGCTGTTTTAAAATACTATCATTTAACCACCATGCAATTTTATTTCAGCCTAAAAACCACATGCCAGGTTATATTGTTTTGCATCTTTATATTACATACATGCAAGTCAGTTTCATGTAAAAGTTCTCTACATAGACTAGTTAGTACCGATGCTTCGTCCAGTAGTTTCCTTGTCTACTTTGTTTGGTTCAAAATTACATGGTACGGAATTGAGTAAACTTAAGCCAGCTGTCCAATGGTGGTTATAAAAAGAACTTCCACACCACAACCAATGAAGAGACAGCGGTAACAGAATTAATAATTACATTGTTGTGTATGCTTGCCAGCTGCCAGAATGGAAAGCATTATCCCCAGCTCTCAGCTGGCGAAGTTAGCCATGCCTTTACTAACTGTGATTCCTGTGAAATACATATCTGCTCCATAAAGAGATCAAGGTTACCAGAGAATGAAATAGTAAAATTTACACCCCATGCAAGTAATTTATAGAATATAGTCAACATTTATTTAGTGGTAGATCTAATGTAAAACAGTGCAGATAATAGTGGATCAAGGATAGAAATCGGGTAAAAGACCTTAAAAAAAATCAGTTTTGTTAACTTTAAATATTAATCACTATCTATGTCCACATTGAACAGATATGCGTTCATAAAACACACGTGCCTGCACATGAACATGGAGATTTTTGTTAACAGGTAGAGAAGAAGCAGTAGTATTTACAAAATGTTCAAGCACATGGGAAGATTTCAGTATCGGTATCGACAACAAACTAATTGTCTTAAGGGCAGTAGGCCATTAGATATTGAGGAAAATAAATTTCAGAAGGGGACCAGCTTAAAGGTCTCTTTTTTTAAAAAATACAGCAAATCTTTTTTTTTTCCTTCAAATTTTGCAAGTTTGAAATTCCTTTCGCACATTGACCTTTGTAGTTTGGCATGGACAGATACGAATACAAAAATTTTCCTAAATACATGTGCGAAACATAAAGTCTATCATCAATCAGTGGTAGATCCAATGTCAAACGGTGCAGATAATGGTGGGTCAAATGTAGTACTTAGATCAGAAGGGGATGGAGAAATTTCAGGTTGAGCAGGACTTACATCATCAAAACCTGTGCCTAAACTAAAGGGAGATGGATCGGTAGAACGCATATCTGCACTTAAAAGATCAAGATCATCAGTCGGAGACACAGTTCTGGAACCCTGTTTTTCATCAGAGGTGAAATCTTCCACTTTGATGTCAATGGTCCCATCGTTATTCGATGATGGCGGCCTGCCCCGCTTTCTTGTAGGTACATCTGTCCGCATTTCCATCATTGTATTCTTCATTTTCTGAACCATATTCTCTGGAACAGTGAAACCAACAATCTCATCGATTACAAGAGCTGGATTGTTTCTGTACTCTTCGGACTCGGCCAACTCTTTGATGTCTTCGACGAGTAGCATATAAGCTTTACCACCCGTTGCAGGCATAAGGTTATGATCATACAGCCATTGTTTATCTTCTTGGTCACCAGAATACTTGAATATGTCTGGATGCTTTATGTACAGCCTGCCTCTTGTAGCACCAAGTCCTAAAGCTTTATTCGCTTTGGCGCCCATAATAAAATGAGTTTCTGGTGTCAAACGGGCAGGATCCCATTTCGGACCTTCCCGCTTCACTTGTTCCAGTTTAAACTTCATGGGCGTTGATCGTCCGGAGGATATATTAGGGGGTCTGCCTTTTCGCTTTTTGGGCTTAACAGGAATAAAACTCGCTTCCGAATCGGTGTCAGATTCCTTACGTTTCTTAACTAATGGCTTAGGTGCTGTATTTGTGCTGGTCAGTTTTTGGTCATTAGACGAACTACTTTCAAAATCAATCAACTCAGCAGGACTAGTGCCTCTATTAGATGTTGTCTGATACATCTTTTTGGCCTCTTCTAGAATTTGCCGACATACTGTCTGTATATGCTGATCTGAGACTGAGTTTTCACCGTTATTACTTTTAATGTTTTCAATGCCGGGTCTAAAGAACTTCTCTAGATATTTTTGAATGATATCATCAATTTCTTTGTTGATGTACTTCTGCATGTTCTGTCTCAAAATGTCTAAGGACTTTGCTGTACCAGTAATAAATCCCAATCTAGCTCTCTGCATAGCTACTGCCTGGGATCTGTAGGCCGTCCTATAGCTAGTAGTACTCGTTGGAAAATTATTCAAGTTATACGATCGCATGTTGAATGTGTTCTCCCACTTAACCAACATGGAAGTGTGAAAAGCATCAGATAATTCCGGGGGTATCTTTTCTGATTTAAAAAATATATTGGCCTTCCTACCTCCAACACCAAATAAACGTACTTGTTGACTTTCATTATTTGAAGAATTTGGAGTTGTAAGTTCAAATTTCGGTGAGTGCCAGCTAAAAACTGTGGGTTTGTTCCGGTTTGTTTCTCGCTCAGATGGGGAATACACTCTGATTTCTGGAACGGTAGACATTTTAAAATCTAATTAAAACTATTTTCAAACGATCCTTTTTATGAACTATCATAAATTTTAAAGATAAAATCTGCTTTAACCCTCTCTATGATTACTACATTAAAATGACCATCAAGATTGTTTTCAATCGTGAAGTTGTGTTTTTGTTTACTTTTTATTATGATTACTAAAGTAGTAGTTGATATTCCGTTACTAAAATGTTGAGGAAATAAAAGTCAAACATTATTAAAAAAATTTAAAATAGATTTTTTGCACAAATATTTCTGATTAAGTGTCTTCAAGCATAGTTTAATACATTTTTAAGCTTTTATATGTCTTCAATCATTTTTGAGGAATGGCAACATAAATATTTCTTTCATTTTCACGGCGACCGTGATTATTTTGCCAGCGGGCAGTTCGCAATTTGTAAACAAACATCTAAAAATATGGTTCGGTTATTATGATAAATAATGTAATTGCAGAAAAATTTTAACTTTTTTTTTAAAAAGCTCTAACTTATTGTATTTTTTTAACTATTAATTATTTTTACATTTCAACATGGGAACATTTCTGTATCATTGTTTTTATCTTTCGAACATTTAAATGTCTTTACATAGTTATTTTCCTTTAGTTACATGAAAAGTACAAAATAATAGTTACTTTCTTTTAGTTACATGAAAAGCACAGAATAAAAAGTAAGACAGAATAATTGATAAGTTTTCTATTATTTAATTAATGGATAACATTTGTATAGCATTATAACTATTCATTTTGATTTTATATATTCTTATGATTATTTGATTTCTAAATTCGGGGATATTTCCGTATCGTGATCTATAGCGCCAAGACCTACAATCACCAAGGTGCCAAATAAATTTTAAACTTGCAAATTTAAAAAAAAAACGTAGATGTTTACCCGGGGGTGGCTACGAGTTTGACCTTACGAGTTAGACCCTTTCTTTGATGTTTTAGTTTCTCGCAAGCCGCTGTCCGAAAGTTCCAAAACTTGGCGATTATTCTGCCACAGATCACGATACGGAAATATCCCCCAGATGGGGATCATGATGCGGAAATCTTCCCAAAGATAGCCTAAGTTTCCTGATATTCTGGCAGTGGCACGCAAACTTTAAAAAAATCTACGCTGACCTAATCATAGAATTTATTAGCCTCTAAATAATTTGCTTTCTTTAAATTTTTGCACATTCAAATGCCTTTTACTGCACTTTCTTTAGTAATTGTAGGTAGCGTGAATAGGTATTAATACGAAAATATAACAAGGATATTTCAGTATCATGATCTACTGTGCCAAATGTATTTTAAGCTTTCAAATTTAAAAATGTAGAGGCTTGCCAGGGATAACTAGGAGTTTTACCTTTCAGTTGGTCCTCTTCTGCGATTTTTTTTAATTTTATTATTATTTTCTCATAGGGTACTGTCTAGAAATCGCCAAAACTTGGTGATTATTTGATGTAGTAGAACTAACTTGTTTGATCAAGTATGGTAAGTATCATTATACCTAGGCCAAAATAATTGTCAAGTCTTAACGTCTTTCGGACAGTAGTCAGCAAGAGGCTAAAATAAATAAAATCTTAAAAGGAACTGGAAAGATATAACTTGTAGCCACCCTTCTGCAAACTTCTACATATTTTTTAAAAATTTTGTCAATTTTCGCTATGTATTATGCAAAAGCATGGTTTTCACATTGTTCTATTCAGCGTTTTCACAATTCATTCAAACACAATGTATTTAGGTGTGCTGTCAGTCCATAGCGTATGAAAGCTCCAATCATTGCACTTATTTGGTGAAATTTTTGCGGGTCCGCATGTGCGTCTACTGAGCTGGGTTTGGTGAAATTCTTGCATTCTCACGTGACACTCTCCTGCATTTTGCAAGATATTCTCAATTTCATGCTTCATTTCCACCCCCTGAAATCGAACCAATAAATCTCTCGATCTTTTTATGGTGGTTAATATAATCAAGAAAAGAGTTCTTTGTCAAAAACTAGTAATTTTTCATGATCATGTAAAAGTCTTTGAAAATTATTTAGCATTTTGTTGCATTTGCATTACATAGTGCTTAGAAATATTTTTTGCGTACTTAAAAGGTGCTTATTTTTTGTTGTAAGATTTAGCTACGCACCTTGTAAAAATTTGAATTTTAGTATGTATCTTTTATAGATTGCATCATTTACCATAGCTGTATGCGATGGCGAATATCCAAGACACTGCTGACTTCTTCAGTGTAGATTTTCCCCAGCAAGAAAACTTAACTGATGATATTGATGAGGAAGAAGATAAGGAAGAGGCTGCTGAAAATGCAAGGAGAGATGCTGAGGTAATGCCTTACTATATCATATTAATCTTGCTTGTTTTTAAAATCATATAAAATAATTGTACAATATGTTTGTAAATGCATTTAAACTTCTATTACCTATTAGTCAAATACTGGATTTTCCAGTGTATAAGTTGACTGAAGTTTTTTAACTTGAGAATGGATTTTGTGCGAGTTCAAGTATATAGCTGTCCCCTGAGTTCACGCTTGTTAAAAATGATATTTTCTAATCAAAGACAAAGTTTTTCGGTACTTTTCCATTTCGCCGGCGCAGAGACAATAATGTTGCTAATGTAAAATCACCAAACACCAGTAAATTCAATTGTTGTTTTTTATTAATTATTATTTTTATTGTCTTTAAGATCATTAAAAAAATTTATTGATAAATAAAATAGATGATTTTACTAATTAAATTGATGAAATTAAAAAGCCCAGTTTTTTCTTTCTTCTTTTGCCTTTTTTATAAAATATAATCTATGCATAAAGTAATGTGTAATCTTTTTAGCGAATGTCACTTTCTACTCTTGTCCCTCTCATATAATGATCTGCGGTATTCTGATTTTGACGAATTCTTTATCTATTAGCAGGGTTACTGATGTAAAAATTGTACCAACTGTTATATTTAACAATTTGACATGGCTGTTGTCAAACTGGCTTTTCGTGAAATTAGTAAAAGACATTATTTGAATTTTATGATATTCAATGAATAGCAGGTCACTATTAAAACAATTTCTCCAGTTTTACATTATTCAATTAAAAATATTAAAATATTTAAATGTTGTGACCTTAAAGTATCTGAGTCAGAGGTTTTAATTCTTCTACTTAAATATATATATTGCAGTTTTGATTTAAAATTGCTTTTATGATTTTAGCTTCAAGAAGAAATAGAAAATTTTGATGATGATTCAGAAGCAGAGGGTTCTGAAGATGGGTCTGATAATGAATCGGGTGTAAATATGTAAGTAAGCAATTTTGCTTTTATAATGTTTTAGCGTTTTTTTATTTTAAGATTTTGTGTTTTAGTTATTTGTGTTGATGTTGCTTATCCTAACTGATCTAGCCAATAGGGTGCACTAACTCCATAAGTTAGTAGACCCTCAGAAAATTGAAAACAAAAAGGGGTATTTGTTCTAAATAATCCTTCTTAAGTATAAGGAAGGAAAAGAGATCTGGTGTGAATATCAAGGTCTTGTATTCTCCATAGATAGTTAAATTAAGACACTTCAATTATCCACTTGATAATGTAGTTTGAATGATACTTGATAATGTAGTGCTTGCCCATCCTTTGAAATTCAGAGCTTCTCTGGGTTGTTTGCACTGTACCAGTCATGTGCCAGGAAGAGTCAATAGCAGATTTTTCTCTTGTTTTTTAATCTAAACCATGAGGTGTTGTTGATTCTTTTGAGTGTTTTTAATCACCTCTTTGACTCCTGAAAAATTGATAATTCTTCCATCAAAACTGGGAAAACTGTGTTCTTACAGTTAGGGGGAAAAAAACATTTTAATTAGAGCTATGATATACAGTCTATGCTCGTTAGTATCCACCCCCCACTCCTGCAACCTTTCCATTAAAACGACTAATTGATGAAGTCCTGTGAATCGTTTAGAAGGTGCAGTGTTTTTTTTTTTTTTTTTAGCCCTCATTAAAACATCCAAACTGAACCATTCACTGTTTCACTGCAGTTACTGAAATTTTGTTTAAATTTTTTTTTTCAATTGATGAAATAAAGCCGTAATAATTCACCATAAAAGCAGGTGTTAAACATTTTGTGCTTTCAAAACCAACCTTTATCTGTATACAATGAATTATATGGGTAGCAAAAGAATTCCAATTGTTTGTTTTGATATTTGATGCTAAATAAATTTGAAACATCTTGAGTTTTCTTTGAATGAGAAAAGAGTAATTGGATTATCTATCCTAGATGGACCTAGATGTAATCCATGTCAAAGATGATGAAGTATTGATTACTTTTAATCATTGAGAATTAGAACTGTATACTTTTTATACAATCAAACTTAGTAAAAACAGGAAAAAAGATATGTCATATAAATCTATCATTAGACTTATGCTCTTATATGACTCAAAAACTTGGACCTTGTCAAATCACATGACCATTGACTACTCATCTATGAGGGAAAAGTTTTCGGAAGGATTCTAGGTGCAACGAATATAAATGCTACATGAAGGCACAGATATACCATAGCAACAATTTTACAACAGCCCCATTTGGGCTCAAAATTGGCTTATAATGGGTCCTATATGAACATGCACCGAGGGACCATTATTGGCTTGTCTAGATGTTTTAATATTTGTCCTATATCGGGCTAATATCGACCTTTATGGGGCCTATATTGGTTGAACAATGAATATAAAATATGGGGTGAATCTGACAATTTTATATAGCAGATAATATATTGGGTTAATCGATTTCTGCATAGGGCCAATTTTAGAAAATGACGAGCCTTTGAACTTTATTGAGTTGAAATTCGTGAATAGTGGTCCAATGAGGGCCCGAGTTATTTTTCTGCTAGGATAATAATGAGCTGTGCAGGCTGTAAACAGAGGCAGATATTATCAGCCATATTAAAGGAATCCACATCAAATTTGCTAGACATAGCTGCCTAATGGAGCTGTTTTCCTTAACACCCAGTCTTTAATTATACAGGGTGCTTAGCAATTTTAAAAAGTGCTTATTTTTATTTAAGTTTTTTAAAAGCCCTTAAAGGTGCTTTTTTTATTTGGTGTTTGTAAAAAGTGTTTAATTTTTTATCTTTTAAGAAGAGATTTTTTCTTTGCCGTATCGATTGTCATTCTAAATTACAAAAAATTCATGATTTCTATAATTTTCTCTGTAATATTTATCAGAAACTAGTTATTTTATCACTTTAAAAGGATAGAAAAATAATAATTTTTGTTACTGCACAGATCCTAGTTATGATTTTTTTTTTTTGGAAAGTGATTAAAAATATTTTTGAGTGCTTAAAAAGTACTTAAAAGGTGCTTATTTTTTGATGAAAAATCTGGCTAAGCATCCTGTTATAAATCGATAGGAGCCTGAACCGGAGACAGACCCAGTCTAAGGTGGGTCGACTGTATTAAAGGAGATTTAGAAGAACTTGAAGTGAAAAACTGGTGGAAGAGAGACGAAGATGAAGGTGATGAAGAGAGCTGAATGGAAAATTATCCTGCAGACCTTATTTTTCAAAGGGCTGACAAGTCAATAAAGAGGATGAAGAATTATGTGGAAATTGAAGTTTCTTGTATGCATTCGTAACATTAATAAATTTCTTTACAAGGAGTTTAAAAAAAATCCATCAGTCATGTTTTCTTGCACCGCAGCAGGAGTTGCAGATTTTTAGAAGATCTCCAGATTATTTTTAATAAATTCTTGTTTCTCTCTTTTTTATTTAAAGGTAAATAAATGGGAGGATTTTTTTTTCCTTTTAAAAACAACTCTAGACTTGCTTTGAATAAACTTTAAAAAGTTGTATTAAGGACACTGCGAAAAACAAAATCGAAAGATTTTTTTTTTCTCCTCTCTCTCTCTTTTGCAGACTTCAATATAGAAATTCAGTTCTTCGGCTAGGCTTTGGAAACTATGGGTGCTTAGGACATAGGACTCATATTTCTGGCTTCCTTTTTACTAAAAGCGTAAAACGAGAATTTGACCTCTTTATCCATGTATTAAAATTCACATTCTGTATCTTGATAGACAAAAACAAGAACATTAAAAAAAGGATTTGAACAATCAAGGCTTTAATGAGTTTCAATCAAATACCAGCAAGAAAAATCAACAACTTAATTTGATACTCAGAATTATTCTCCCTTTCCTGTTATTAATACAGAAAAAGCAACAATAAAAAAATGTTGATGCATTTTGTTAGTTTGTTTCTAATTTTGCTCACATAAATCTGCCTACTAGCTATTTTTTCCCCTTACTGAAGAACTATGTGTTCCAAGGGATGCATCATAACTAATTTTTCCCATCTCTAAGATTTCTAGCTTATTTGAGGCATTATAACACAAAGGCGAAATCACTAGGATTTATTCCATTTTTTAGTATCATCATTTCATCTTAAATTTAAACAGATTCATTTCTGAGTGGTCTTAGACCTGTAGACCATACAAAATTGTGAATATTGCTCTTTTAACAGCATAATACTGTTTGTATTAACTTCTATTGTTTTATTCATTACTTTTATTTTATCAGTAATACATATCCTGTTTCTTTTAATTGCAGCAACTTCGACCATGAATCTCATGAATCCTTTCCAGTGAGTTACATGATTGTTTTAACTTTTCTCTTTATACTTTAAACTTAACTTATTATTGTAAAGCAACTTATTATTTTAACTTAATATTGTAAAATAGAAATATGCTATTATAAGTTTAATAAAACATGTTAGAGTTTATTTATTTTGACAGAACGAGTCCTCTCCATCCTTTAAAAAAGATCTATGAAATTAAATTTATTTGATGTAAATCATTTTTTTTAATTAGAATTAAATTAATGTTTAATTGCGATCGAAAACAATGTAATAGTTAAAATGGTTAATATCTCTCAAACAGTTAAAATTATTATTTAATTACCAATAATTGACTAAATAAAGTTTTTTTTTTCAAGCCTGACTAAGCTACTCTAGTTAGTCTTTCTTCATCTTTGATGTATATTAACTGCATATTTATAGAGTTTGAAAAGCACTGCATTAAATTAAAACTGAATGGATATAATTGAACTATGTTTATTGCCAGAAAATTATTTTACATATATTTAGTTTATGGAAAATTATTATTTAAAAATTGCATGCTATTTTTTAGTCTATTTTGAAACATTTTCTCTGTATTTTGATGGGTAAGAATCAGTATTTATCCTGAACCAGGTACATTTATATAGGGAGGCAAGAAATTCTCAATTCCTGATATTTCCCCAAAACTTAGTTTTTTTTTTTTTTTTTTTAATGTGAATTTCCTCTCAAAATTATAACACTCTTTTTAGTTACACAAGGCTCTGCGATAAATCGTAAATTCAGCAAAAAAAAGTTGTATTTTGACAAAAATATTGGCCGATGAATTTTTCTACCTAAAAGAAAAATACAGTAGAGAACCGATTATCCGGAACGATCGGGACTATCGCTATTCCAGATAACTGATTTTTCCGGTTTTCTGAATCGCTACAAAAAGCCGTTTTTTTAGTGTTAAACCCAACTTTAAAAAAAAAAAAAAATATTTGGAAATAATCTTAAAAATAAGAAAAAACGATGAGGTATTACACTAATGATTATTTCTGAAATGATGGTAAGCTAAGCATCTTTCAAAAAAGAAAGAAAAATCCCAAAATCTTATGAGGAAAAAAAAGTTTTTTTAAAAAAATTGCGTGAAAATTTATCGAATTTCGTTCCGGTTTTTTGGTTTCCCGGTTTTCTGATTTCCGGATAACGGGTTCTGTACTGTATATACATAATACTGAAGAAATAGATCAAAGGAAATTTCTTTGAACAAATTCTGTATTTTTTATTCGATCACAGTAATTTCTATTAGATGCACAGTATAACAAATTAGAATTATATTAAGTCCAGATAATGTAAGCAACAAGAGAGAGTATGTAAGCATAAGACAAACTACCGTAAAATATAGATTACTACGTTCATAGCTGAATCACACGATATCGTGTGACAAAATTTTCCCTACATTTTGCTAAGTGGTAGCAAAAGGCATCAAACTATTTTTACAGATTTATGCTTTCTTGTGACAGTAACATTTACAATAATATGGCAATAACTTAATGTTGCCAAAGGTTTATCTTTATATTACTGCTCTAGTCTAAGAAATTATTAAAAATCAACCGCAACCTATTTCTTTTCCTCAAAAATGATAAAACATCTACATTTTTCATCCTCTCTCATTCATTACTTCTTTACTCTTCCCCAACTGCAAAATGACTCTTGATTTGAATTTCCGTTTTATAAAATAATTCAATTTATGGTATATTTGTGTTTTGATTTGAAGTTTTTCTTGTGATAAAATCAATCATAAAAGTTGTTGAAGATTTGCCTAAGAATTTTGAAATTTGACTAATATTTTTGATATTTAGCTAATTTACTAGTTAATAATTTGAAGTCCTTAACCCGGGCCCTGGTTACAATAAATTAATAACGTTAAAATTTATTGATAATTCTTTTAGCTAAGAAAAAAAAATTACTCAATTTCACACAAGTCTTGAATAAACTAATATCTTTGTTAACAACAGAAATCAAACTAATAAATTAACTTCAATTCAAACTAATAAATTAACAAATTGGCATGGAGAGTTATTTGTGTTATATTAAACATAAATTTTTTTTTGTCAGGGATTAAAAATTATGTTACAATAATTGCAGCTGGACTGCAATGACTCAGAGGATAGAGCGTTCGCTTTCCAATGAGGTGAACCTGGGTTCGATCCCGGCAATATAAATTCCGCCTATATGAATTCTGCATCCGTCTTGCACCGGCCACTGTGCTGACGTGAAATATCCTCAGTGGTAGACGGATCATGGGTTAGAGTCCCCTTGCCCTCAGGCTAACTGTGGGAGTTCTCCTTTTCTTCCTCTCCTTGTAACACAAACGCGGGTTAGTTCCATCTAAAAGTCCTCCTCGAAGGCTAATTTGTAATAATACTTCCAGGAGTTCCCTTGTCTTCTGGATTAGGTTCAAATTTACAAGGCTACGCAGTTGAACATTAGTAGTCATAAACCCAAAAATTGTTTCGGCTGTTCAACAATGGTTATAAAAAAATTTGCAGGTATTTTTTTTCTTTCTTTTTCTAATTGGATTCATTAACTTTCCAGTGCCGCCTGAAATTCTCTCGAACTTCGTTCCTGCAATCGAAATATTTTGTATCTCTGCATTTATAAGAAGTGTTTTATGTTAGTTTTTGATTTTGTACCATACTCTTTGTGTCTCGTAGTAAACTCACCTGAAATGATTATTTCAATCGGTGGTAATGCATAGAAATTCGATCATTACGTTGCAAATGTTTCAGCATTGTTTTTCTTTTTCGGAATGGTGGGTAGAGTTTCACTTACCTTGGTTTGGTCCTGGAGTTGTTTGATTGCCCAATTTAAGGGTTGATATCTAATTGGACAGCACTTTCTCCGATAGTGACTCACTGGTTCAGAATCCATTCTAATGTAATGCCCCCTATAATTTCAAAGCTGAAAAAGTCCATGGGCGATTGGGGAAAGTGGTGCTTAGGCCAGTGGATAATACCATCTGCCCTAGGATCTAGTATGTGCATGTGTCATTACTATCTCCAGATAAGCATTTAGGATAAATCCCAAACAGCCTTCAGCTCTTGACAATAACAATGAAACCAAATCGAAAAACAGGGTTCCTTTGGATCAGGGAGAACAGGGAAAACCTGGATTCATCAAGGAATTTTTTAACTCAAAAACTCAGGGAATAGTCTGGGTGAGTTGCAATTTCTTTACAAAAACCTGGAAAATTCCTATATTATACTTGGAAAACCTTAAAAATGTCAGTAGCAGTAATCCGTTATTGAGATTCGAGGTAAATTATTCTAACATCTATAACAATTATTTTGTCTACAAATTTCACATTTTAGACAAACTTTTCCATGTTTCCATCTTCATTCAATGATTTTTTTTACACAGGAAATCTATTTGTCATTACAATTAAAAGAATTACAGTTTTTTGAGGAAAAATTGCATGATATAGTTAAAATAGGGTCTCAACTTTCATTGAAATTTAGGAAAATTCAGGAATACCTGGAAAATTCAGGGAATTTTTTTTTTTCTGAAAGTGAGTAGGAACCCTGGAAAAAGTTTTATATATTTTTTTTGTTCTAACTGTTTTTTCTTGCTCATTTGTTTCAACAATAAATTTTTGACAGAACAATTATTTTTCTTTCTAAATTAGGTTCGAAGAAATGGGCAAGGTATTAGACCACGCCAGCGTGTACAAGAAAATCTTCGTGAATTTCTAGTAACTCAAAATGAGGATGATAGAAATGGGCATGGTATTAGGCCACGCCAGCATGTACAAGAAAATCTGCGTGAATGTCTAGTAACTAAAAATGATGATGATAGAAATGGGCATGGTATTAGGCCGCGCCAGCGTGTACAAGAAAATCTTCTTGATTGCCTGGTAACTCAAAATGATGATGATAATATTTCTTTAAGCAACAGCTATGAGAATAGGCATGATGATAATCCTCTGATGACTTCAAGCAATAGCTATGAGAATAGGCATGGTGATAATCCTCTAATGACTACAAGCAACAGCTATGATGGTGATCCTAATCTTTCTTCTAACAAGAGCTATACCAATGGTCATGATGATAATCCTGAAGTATCTTTAAGCAGCAATTACACTCCTAGACATGACATTCCATGTCAAAATCACTTTGATAATACTGATTGGCAGTATCTGCCTTCTCAAAACAATTATGGTGCTAAGCCTACTGAAGATATTTCTCATAACTCTGGCAATGCTTCTCGAATTATATACAATAATGTGAACCATCATTTAGGTATTCATCCCACCCCACACACTCCAAGTTCTGTATTAATAGCTTCTCAAAACAAATCCAATGATGATGTTCCTTACACCAAGCCTGTTGGAGATGGACATCTTTTGAATGGCACAAAACAAGACGCAACACTTCAAAGTAAAGTAAAATTTTTGTTGTTAATAAATATGACATTATCATAAAGGGTTATGAACCACTTTTCACTGAAACGCTCCCACGTAAATGTCCCCTGATAAAGTCCTCTATCGCAATTGTGATTCTTTAGTTATATTTATGTAAAAAAAAAAAATATATTTTTGAATAAATTATCATTAGGATTTTAAAAAAATGCTTAAAGGTGCGTATTTTTGATTTACGTTTTATTTTCTTCATGGAGGTTTGCAAAAAGTGCTTAATTTCGTCTTTTTTTAAAAAATGAGATCAATTCTTGTCAATTATCATCATAAACTGCACAAAGCATAGTTTTCACAATGTTTCCTTCAATTGTTTTTCAGAAATGAATTATTTTATCATGATCATGTAAAGTCTTCGAAATTGTGTTTGCATATTGTTGATTTTATGTATATAAAAGAACTTTGAACAATAGGAAGAAAAAAAAAGTTTATCTATGTGCATATTTTAATTTTGATATATTTTTTTTTAAATGCTTATTTTTTACTGGAAAATTTGGCTAAGCATCCTGGACAATAGTTATCTAGCCATTAAGAAATGCCACCAAAATCATAAGCTTGGACGATGAATTTTGTCAATCCATGCATATTTAAAATATTTGTGTAATCTGTCATTTATATTATGCTATTTAAAAACCAAAATAGGAATTTTAAAATTCATGTGAGAGCCCATAGTAAAGTAATCAACAAAGCCACATGGATTTAGGATAAATTCGGCACAAATCAAGCTTATCAAAAAGTGATTAATCTAATGTGCCATTCAAGACTTGCATATTGTAAATATATGTATTAAAAAATCCAGACTTTATAAACCATGAGGAAGTTTCTAGCCAATAACTGATTAAAACGATCGAAAAACAGTGTGAGTTTACAATGGAAAATTGTGTGCCATTAATATAACATTTAAAAAAATCAACTTGCATTTACGATATTTTGAAATTGAAAATATAAGGTGTTTAGAATAATTTAAAATGGAAATAGTGTGCTTTTCTTTGCATAAATATATATCATAATTGATATATGTATAACTTCTGTAAATTCAACATATCTTACCTTTGTCTACCATGTTATATTTTTTGTGCCACTAAATTAAAATTTTGATAGTCCATTCAAATCAATATATTATCATTGCTAATGTGAATCCCATCCGCATATACCTACATGTTGTAACATTTACCTAAGTTTATTTTAATGTTAAGTTTATTTTTAGATGACTGTTACAGTAGAATCTTCAGTAACAAGCAAAATCTAAAACACTCATATACCCAAGTGAATTTTCCCAAAAGAAATAAATTAAGTGCAGATAATTTTTTTACAACTAAAACCCATTTACTATTCTTATTAAAAGATTGATATATCATAATACAGCAGTACTTTTAGAGCTGCTTGCGTTACATTTGCTTCATTTTTAACTCTCGGTCCAAGTTGTAGGAGTTTGCTGTATAATATCAGGGGTCTGTTTAGAAGAAATTTGGGTCCATTAATGGACCCTTCACAAAATATTTTAACTTAAGAACGGACCATTCGCAAAATAATTTATCTTTTAATCTGACCCTTCACAAATTTGTTTATCTTCATTATTGTTTTGTTAATCGAATAAACCCTTCCTAGGGGGGGGGACAAGAAAGATGGATGTAAACGAATTGAGTTTTGTCTTCGGCAGACGATTCTTCCATTATTCGTCGGAAATGAATATTCTGCGTTCAGCAACATACAAATATAGGCTAAATACCAAATATTTGTATGTTGCATCTCTAATTTAAAAGCAGCAATTGCTGTTTATTTTTGAAAATTTAATTTTTTTATTATAATTTTACAGTGGTGAGCATAATCTTTGTATCTATTAACAATTTAAAAACTCCTTGAAAAAGTTTTTTGCAATAACAGGACCCTATTTGCACAAATTCACAAAAGCCGGACCCTGGTTGTAAGANTGAAAATTTTATTTTTTTATTATAATTTTACAGTGCTGAGCATAATCTTTGTATCTAATAACAATTTAAAAACTCCTTGAAAAAGTTTTTTGCAATAACAGGACCCTATTTGCACAAATTCACAAAAGCCGGACCCTGGTTGAAAGAAAGTGACTTAACGTTCATTATATATTCACAAGTTACGAGTAATTTTTTCACAATTTTACAAAAATTGACCTTTCACAAAATGTCTGGACAGACCCCTGAATATATATAGATGCTTTTCTTTGTTTTGTGAAACGACCACTGGTTTTCTGACATGCAGTAGCAATTTCGAAAGGGGAAAAAAAAGAAGCCGAAGTTTGCAAGATAACTTAAAATGTTAAAATAATAATTTCTAAATTACAATTTAAAGCATAAAAAAGTTATGTTAAATTTTTAAGAAAAATATTATAAATGTATTCATTTTGAGTTAAATAACTCTTTTGTGGGTTGTTTTAAAATGTCATTTCTTTTTTAACTTTTAATTGAAATAATTTCTAAAAGAATCTGAAGATTTAATATTCTATTTATAAAATTGTTAATTGATTAAGATATTCTTTTTTAACCAAAACTTAATATTTTTTTTATTTAAAGTATTTTGCTAATATTTAATGTTACTAATGTTGCAGTATTTTAAAAATTTTATTTCTGTGAATTGTTAATTAAATTAAAATCATTTTAAATAAACTGTAAAAAAAGATCAAAATTTTCAAGCAGCGAATCTCCATCATAATTTCTTCTTCTAAAAATAGTTAATAGACATAGAACCTTCAATTCTTTCTTATGAAATTTCAGGACAAAAAAGAAAATTTCAACCAAATTTTTTTAAAAATATTTATGAGTCTTAAAAATTCTAAAACAACGAAATGACTTGAATATAAAGCTTTTTTTTTTATTTCTAGAAGTAGCACTTGAAATACGTCATTTGCCAGAATGAAAAATTCTGCATAAAGATACTTATCGAAACATAAAACAAGTACTTTGATCACTATTGTATGATTTGCAAATGTTTTCCCATTATAAAATTTGAAAATTGTTAATTATGTTCTTCAATAAAATTCTGACTTAAAAAGCGGGGCGTCACTGATTTGTAGAATATTAGCACATCTGGGTTAATTACAGGATCCTTAAAAAAGTTCTTATTCATTCTTCATTCGGTAAGATTTAATAATGAAAAATTGTGAAGAAAATAGTTATTTAATTTTTGGTAAAAAAAAACTTAAAATACTGCCAGGTTCAGTTCACTAGAAATTTTAAACAAAATATATTATATTCGACTGCAGCTTTAGTAACATTTATTAATGATAATTGTTAAAAGTTCATACTTTATGAAATCTATGATTTTATCAAGAGACTACTAGCCTGTGGAAGTCGTGTAAAGATTTTGATAGAAATCGTCAAAAACTTGAAATTTTAACAAGAGCTATATTTAACAAATACTTGTACTAAAGCCAGCAATTCAGGAATATCAGAAAATTGTGGGCCAAGCATGCAAAAGATTAAAATTGTATCTTCTATTTATTATATATATATATATTTTAATGCTTTTAGATTTACATGATGAGTATATGAAACTTCTAACATTTCATAATAACGCCTGCCAGGAATTGAAAAGGATAAAGAAGAGAGAAAAAGAAACTGTGGATGAAAAATTATCTGAGATCAGAAATCTTCAAATAAACCTTGAGCTAATACAAGGTCATTTTCATAATTTTTTTTGTTTACATTGATCTTGAATTATTATATTATGCATTTATTTGCATTGTTGTATACCCTACGAATTAGGAATTTCCATATCCAGGTGCTGGTTTTTGTGACCTTTTTCCCTAAAAATAAGACTAATGTTGTTTTTTTTTTTTTTTTACTCCTGTTATCTGATGCAAAGTTTTATTCATGATAATTTATTTTTATTACTAGCTGAATATCCCTTCTTTATATGGTGGGGGGAAAATGGAAATAATCAAAAAATCGGAAACCATATACCAACACAATTATTGAAGCTAAAGCAATTCCAATTTTTTTATTATTTGTTACCCTTCCAGGTGACTTTATATTATCAAATTAAGCAAAAAATGTTCTTAAAAGTTCATCCCATCAAAATAATTACCTATATTCAGTAAATCAGTATCATTTAGCATAATGTTATTGCTCGAGATCAACTCCTAATAAGCCAAAATTATCATAATCTACAATTTTTTCTGGTACTTATCTCTTTCAGGGAACCATAAAACCAATTTCCACCAATGTTTAGTACCTATTAAAAACATCAATTAACATAATAGCAGTAGTAGTTATTACTAAAATTAATCAGTATTAGCTTCAATAATAATTAGGAAGTTTTAAATGAATTTTTTTTATGAATAAGTACCTTTTACCTATTAATTTAGCTTTTTAGTTCAAAACTTATTTTTTTATATCAATTTGGGCCTATTTCCAAAATTAATCAAGCATCATTGGTGTCAATAAAATACAATTCTCATATACAAATAAGTACTATTTCTCCATCAATTTAGCTGTTTAATATAAAATTTTATTTTAAATTTTATCTATTACTAAAATAAATTAATTGTAATTCTTGAAAATAATTAGTAACAACATTAATATTTTTATGATAATTCTTAGTGTATGAACTGTAATCGGTACTTATTTCGAAGACCCTTAAAAATTGCCAAACTATTTTTAATGCCAGTGATACTTAATTGAAAGTGCTATGGTAAAGAAAACCCAATTATACCGATATGGGTGACTGAAATAAGTAATAGTGGTAAAGAGTGCCCAATTATACCAATATATGTGCCTAAAATGAGTACTGTGGTAATAGATTTTTTACTGCCTTCCAAAGCGAATAAGCACTCTAATATCACGTTCATGACACCTAGTACACAACTTTTGCAGTAGAGCCCCGATTATCCGAGTTAATGTGGACCAAGACTAACTCGGTTGAAGCGAAAAATGTAAATTAAGATGAATCGTGTAGGTTTAAATGTATATTTTAACAAATACAAAGGTTATACAGATACACCACATGCAATTCATATTTTTACGATAATTAAGGAGTTCTTATTTAAAAAAGTCCTTAATTGTTTTTTTTATTCACCTCGTTTTCTAAATAAACAAACAAACAGCTAGTTAAGGGGAAGTAACTTCACCCGGTCCGTACGAACTTCTGCTACATCGCTATAACCTTGTTATTATTATGTTTTGCATTAGATTTCCAAACATTGTTGCCGTTTTCTCTTATCTTGATAACGTTTGTTTCGAAATTTAAAAATCTGTTTCATTAAATCGAAATGAGCTTTTTCTGTTATCGCAAGTTGAATGATGATGGCAAGAAAAAATTGTCAATAAAAATAATGTAAAATATATATTATAGAAAAAATAATATTCAGTTGTCTGATCCTTTTTCCGGAAAGTTATTTTAAAGTTTAAAATCTGAAATACAATTAAGTTTTTAAAAGACACTGGTCTCTAGCAGCTAAATATTAAACTAAGATATATTTACCTCGCAGATATACTAATTATTCATGGCATTCTAAAAACATGAACAGCTTAAAACTTGTAACTTGTAGATATGACATTAAAAGAAGTACAAAATGTGGATTTATTGTAAATTTGTAACAGAAATTTTATTTTCTTCAAAAAATTACGCTTCATAATGGAAATATTTTTTTTTCTTTCTTAGGTAAAAGCAATTCCCGCACTCAAACAAAAACAAGAAAAAAAAACAAAAAAACAAGAGATATGTTACTTCATCAAATTTTCTTAAAATGCATTTATTTTATTTTTCTTTAGGGAGTTTAATTGCTTAAAGCAGGGGTGGTCAACACTGGAGCATCTTGTGCACCACTTTTAGTGTAAAAAATCCTGAACATGGCAATTATTAATATAAATTTTATGCTAAGTCAATAAGTGCTATCGTATCTTGGAATTGAAAATTGGTTGTTCATTGAATTATTACACGTACAGTCACTTTTCTTTCTAGATCAAATAAAGCTATACGCTAGTAAATATCACAGATGTTATCTTTAAAATCTTGAATTGTTTCTAGTGAAATTTAAACAATGGTTAACATTTAGCCAATCATAATTTTTTGCTCATCATTTTTATGTATTTAAATGAGCAAGGAAATAATAAACAGAAAATTACATTTAATTACTTTTTTTTAATGAAATAATTTTACAATTACAAATAATAAGGAGAAAACTTACAAGGATACAAACTGTATTGTTTTAATTTTTACTAATTATTTTATATTTAAAATCTTTCAAAAAAAAAATTTTTTTTTCAATTTAAATTAAGTTTGTGTGCCACATGAAATGCCACCTCTGGTTTAAGGTAACTTTATTTTTTATATGTCAAATATAGCATACACGAATCTGAATTATTTAGTGTTAAAAGTCATGCCTTAAATTTACATTACATTATGGGAACATACCAATTTTATTTTAAATTATGCTTGATGAAATCTTGAAATTTAAAGAATAAGAATACTGTATATATTAGATAAAAAATTATTTTGGGAAAAATTTTAAGAAATATATACAGAAAAGTTCGTTTTGTTCAGATTATATATTTTTTTTAAACTCAAAATTTCAGGAGAGGGATAGCATGGGCCCTTTGCCTCATCACTGAGTCGAAACAAATATAGCCCATGTTAAAAAAAAAAAAATAGTGTAGAGCTTTATTCTGTAATAATTCCAGGTAATGTTTGCATATAGATCTTTACATTGAGTTATTTAGACTTAAAAACAAACATACTTCAAAGAACCTTTATTTCTTTTTTTAACTTTTATGTATTCAAAGAAAATTTATTTCTTTTTGAACTTTTATGTATTCAAAGAACCTTTATTTAACTTTTATGTATTTTTCCTAAAAATGAATTTTTCCTAAAAATGAATTTTTCATATTAATCAACGATGATTGAATCAGCCTAAGTAAAAATATTAGAAAAGAAATAAGTTCTGGTTGCTCCGGAAGTTTATGCGGACCATTACGTCTGCAAGCGAAAATAAGCACCGCCTACAGATAAGGTGAATAACTTTACTTTGCCGTTTTTCTGCAGCAATGTTTCGCCATTTTTTTAAAGATAACAGGATTGCTGGTGTTCCTTCTTCTTGTTGTTCTATGTATTCAATAGCACTTTTGATAGCTTTTAATCCATCTGTATGTGAAATTTTCATATATCGATTTTCACCCTCACTGTCTTCATCACTAGATTCCTTTTCCTTATTCACGGTATTGACGATAATTTCATCCGTAATTTCTTGTTGTTCGTCAGCATTTATCCAGTCACGTATATCCTCTTCGTTTATTGGCTCAGCTAGTGGCAGTTTAATGACTAAATCCAAAGCTCATCACTACATTCATTGGACTTTCCGTGATGTTCTGTACTCTGTGTATCGATAATTTTCCTCCACGACTTTTTTATGGTGTCTGATTTTACTTCATCCCATGCCTCAGCTATCCAGTAGACAGCATCCTATACATTTAACTTTTAAGTGTCTCAGGAACACTTTTATTTTCCTCAATTCCTTCAATGAGAAATTTTAGTAATTTCTTTCGATAATTTCTCTTTGTGTTCTCCAAAGCACCTTGATCTAAAGGCTGAATAAGTGATGTGACGTTGGGCGGCAAAAAAAGGGCTTTAATGTTGCCACTCGCCAATTCATCATCATTCGGATGACATGGAGCATTGTCAAGCTGTAATATTGCTTTCCTTGGAAGATTTTGATTTTTTAAGAATGTCTCTACGTTAGGAACGAATTCATCAAAAAACCATTTTTTGAACAGATCTGCATCCATCCAAGAACTTTTTTGATTTTTGTAATACACTGGTAAACTTGGAATATGAACATTCTTAAATGCTCTAGGTTTTTTCAACTTGCCAATCAACATTGTTCTTAGTTTTAGGTTTCCAGATGCATTCGAACATGCTAATATTGTTACCCTTTCTTTACTTATCTTGTACCCCGGAGCTGACCTATCATTCTTTGCCGCAAGAGTTTTTGAAAGCAACNCAACATTGTTCTTAGTTTTAGGTTTCCAGATGCATTCGAACATGCTAATATTGTTACCCTTTCTTTACTTATCTTGTACCCCGGAGCTGACCTATCATTCTTTGCCGTAAGAGTTTTTGAAGGCAACATTCTAAAGTTAAGTCCTGTTTCATCGCAATTGAAAAGTTGATCCATTTTCAGATTTTCTTGTGCAATGAGATTTTTAAAACTTTCTTTGAATTTAATCACCTCCTCACAGTCAGCTGATAATTTTTCTCTCGATATATTTAATTGACGAATTCCATATCTCTTTTTCGAACGATCCAACCATCCACTACTAGCAGTGAAATCTTCTCCAGCATAGAAAAGTTTATTAAAGTCCAGTTCTTTTGCTTGTAGCATAGATCCTGATATTGGACTTCCCTTTTCTCTCAAATGTGTGAACCATGGGAATAATGATTCGGATGTTTTTTCGAATTCACACTTTTTCATTGTTTTTCGTAAACTGCAATTAGCCTTTTCTGCACTCCATATTTCTATTTCATTTCTCTTCCTTTTCCAGTCACCAACAGTAACAGCTCCGACTCCGACATCTCTCGCTACTCTCTTTATTGATTCACCTTTATCTAATCTTTGAATTGCTTCTAATTTTGTTTCTATAGAAACAACAACTCGCTTTCTCTTATTGCTACTCATTTCGAATCTGTAGAATTGACTGAATGTAACCACTGTACTTTTCCCCGCAAAACAATATCCCGATTCCAGGGAGGGAATCATGTGACCAGTCGAAACCATTTAGTAGTAAGGGGGGATGGGTCATATGACTAGACAATGAAAACAATTCAGTGTACTCTCTATCGTTTCATGCTTCTCTTTTTGAACCCTGAAACTGAGTGTCGCAATATTCTTCTTTCAAAAGAAGGGGAGGGGTGGAGCGGTGCTGATACAATGCAAAGTAAGCGTAGTAGGGATGATGGATTTTGTTTTCCTGAGTGTTTGTGAGATCAAGTTCAGAATTTTTTTCGGTAGTTTAAAAAAATAGAAAATGTAGAAGCAAAAACAAAAAAAAATCTTAGAGATATTTGACAGCTCGGTTAATCGGGGCTCGGATTACTGTATTTATTTTTTATTATTATGTTTACTCTATATCACAGTGTGGCCTTATACTTTTAGATTTACCATAGTATGAGTTAGAAGTTTAACTATACAAAAAGTATTGGTTAAAGTGTGATTCTCAGAATTTGCCACAATTTCCCCATAGCTTAATAGATAACTTCAAATTTATTTCATTACTTCTTGTTGAGTTTCCATTATTTAAGTTTACAGAAACATGCTTTAACCCCTTCCTTTTCGCTCCCATGAAAATGACGGGGTAAGGTTTCGCCCTCTATTTCTCGCTCCTGTGAAATTTACAGGCTGGAGTGAGTAGTAGTAACGCACCTATGAGAATAAAACTAATTCATTTTTTATGCCCGGTAAAAATTTTATTTCTTATTTTACTCACCAGATGGCTGTACCAGGATATTTTTTAAGGTAATTGTAGATAGTTAGTTTTTTTTAAACCAGACGTCAGCACTAATCAAATACGTGTATTTGGCGAAATAGGCACTTTTATGACAGTTTTCTTGAAAATTAACCGATCGTTTAGGGGTTAACAGCATATGTGTCTACAAACGAAACATATGATGGTTTGATTTACCTTTAAAATACACATTTATTAATGCTGATTTTACTTGCACCAACCAAACATAAAAATCAAAACTCATAAAAATGTACAATAAAACTAATTTTTGATTGATTAGAGCTTCAAGATCACTCCCATTATAAAATATTTATCAAATCCTATTGTAAAAAGATTCCATCTCGGGGAAACAATCATTCATGTATTGCCATGCCAGTTTCAATAACACAACTTTATTGAGACACAAACGCATGGAGAACTAAACTGCCTAACACATAAAAAAAGCATTTATTAATCACATGACTTGGTGCTGCCATCTATATTCCGTTCCAGAACTATTTCTGATAGAAACACTTATGAAAAACTTTCTTTTTATATAAGATACATACATGTGAACATTCTGCTTTATTTACATAGATTTCTAATAATTTCATCTTACTGAGTTTTTAGAATAGATAAATATTTATGCTGATTTAAGGACATACTTAAGAAGTTGTTGAAAAGACAAAAGCAGTTATAGAGAAACAAAACTTGAGTGAAAGGAATAAACAATGAATACAGTCGAACTCGTTTATAACGAGCACAAAGGGACCGTAACATTGTACTCGTTAAATCCGAGTGCTCGTAATAAACGGATCCTTAAGGCAGGCATGCAACCAGAAAAGGGGGGGATTGAGGGCAAATGATTGAGTTTACTTAAAATTTAATTAATACTTACTTTAATTACATTAATTAATTTAATTAAATACTTTTCTTAATTTAATGACAACTAGCCCCCTCCCAGCCAGCAAAAAATTTCTAGTTGCGCTACAGTCTTAAAGGGCAATTAAGTTTCATTTTGCGGGGGTTTTTTTTATTTCGCGCGTATTTCTTATTTTGAAAAAAAGATAAGACAGAAAGGCTAGAAAGATGAGAAAAAAGATTGAAAGGCAGAGAAATATTGCTCGCTAAAACCGGGTCTTGTTCGTTAAAAGCGACTTCTGTTCCATAAACTTAACATTGATCCAACCAAATATTTTCGTTTCCCTCGGTAAATCCGAGTTCTCGTTAAGTCCGAGCTCGTTATAAACGAGTTTGACTGTATTAATGAAGCTTTAATAAAAACTATACTCAATTTTGTTCCTTGTTAAACAAAAAATTAAAATTTTACATTGTTAGTACAATTTAATAAGATTCATTTACTCTTCCAATTTGAAGAATCTACCATGCTAGTGATAATTCTTCAAATTAAATGGAAAGAAGTAAAAGATGAAGGGAAAAAAACACGTCTTTATTCATGAGAGGGAAATTAAGCATATCCTTTGTTTCCTTTTTTATTACATATATATCCAGCAACACGTATTATACCATTTATACATGTTTTCCGTTAATTATGAGCATTGTCATCGATTAATTATCTTTTATTCATCTTTTTTAATGAATAACACATGTTAGGATTTTTGTTTACCATAAAGATCCATTATCTGGAAAAATCTACTTTCCGGATTTTCCGAAGTTCTGACTATTCTGAATGCAAGGCATTTCACTACATATTCAAAGAATGAAGACAAAAGAGAATGAATGAAGAAAAGATGAAAGAATGAATGACAAAAGAATGAAGGATTATACTTAGGTTATTCCTTCATTCTTTTGTCTATTTAAGATTCTTTTAAATACTCCTTTTAAAAATGTTGATTCAGGGAAGTAGCATAATAGCTTCTTGTTAACATATTTATTTTCTTAAAAAATCCATGATTTTTTTATTATGAATTATTTAAAAAATAAATATGTTATGAGGCAGCAGGGTATACAATCTTACAAACAAGTTACACACGAGCATAATATTCGGTTTGTTACTGTATAGGGGAAAAAATTAATTTTATAAAAAAAATGTTTACATTCACCGTTTTAAATTATTAAATTCTGATTTTGAAATTAATCAGTTGAATCCCTTATAATAGTGGAAGAAATAAATATTCTCAAATAAACATACATTAATTTTTATTTCACTGTGGCTGTTTAACTGAATTCGATCAACTGTTAGAGTTTATTTTAAATTACAAAGTTACAAAAGGCTGAAAAACTTTTTACCTTACAAACTATTTTTCAAGTTTTTACCGCTCTCCTTTCAAAAGGAGACTATTTTCTGTATTTTAAATGTAAACATTAAAAATATTTATGCAGACAATATTTTATATTACAAAATCAGACACAAAATCCTACTTTCTCTGAATAAATGAATTTGACCACAGATTTGAATTTTTATGCTCAAAATATGGGGGGGGGGCTGCTAAAATATAGTTCCTATAGCTTAGACATGAATAGAATTTTATGTTTGGGCTCTTTTATGTAAATTTCACATTCTTTCTATTTCTCCATGTCTCTAGATCCATTTTTGTACAATTAAATAATTTTTCTACATAACTTTATGTATTATTTTAGTAATGGTAAAAAAATAAGCATGTTCATACAAAACAAGTATGTTTTTGTGCCTGAAGTTGTTATCTTAAAATATGGTAATCAGAAATGTATGAAATATTTAAAATTAATGTCTTGATTCCTTAAGATTGCATCTAAATATGTGAAAATCTACTCATTAAATCAAAGGTTATAAAGCTCTTTTTTTTTTTACCTTTTACAAAAGTTTTTTTGTCAATCAAAATGTAGCCAACAGGGTAAAATTTAGTTTTTGAAGCAGAGAAGTAGCCACTTTATTCAAACTATGTTACAAAAGAACTTAACTATCCTATTTATTTCAAAGTATTGCCAATTATTTTGATTATAATTTTAGATCATCCTGCATTTGGTTTCCATATTATCTACTTGTTTTGCTTATATACTAATGTGAATAATTTTGTTTTGGACCTTTTCTCCTAGGTGAAAAAACTTCCCTAGTCTCTAAACTGGATGAATTGCAAAAATATACATCTGATTATGAACTTCAGAAGAAAAAGCAGGAGGGTAAGATTGCAGCTCTTGAAAGTGAACTTGCTTCTGTTACAGATGCTAAAAATGAGGTGATTTGAAGTTTAATTTTTAAATTCTATTTAAATAAACCTACAGTAATTTTTAAAATCAAAGCAAAGCCCCTCAGCAAAGGATTGATATGGCATGTTTCCAGCCATGCAGCTGTAGTGAGACATAAAGTACTACTACTACTTTTTTTACTTAAAAATATGCTGTTTTAGACCGTTAAACTCTATGAGAATTTTCAACTTATACTCTGGAAATCTAAGGGATTTTGGGTTTGCCTGGAGAACGTTAACCGTAATTCTTGTTTTTTTTTTTTTTTTTTTTTTTAAAAAGTCCTTCCANTTATTTTTTTTTTTTTTTTTACATATTTCTTTGTATTTATTTATTGTTCGTTTCTTTTTTGATTTATTGTACTGACTTATCTGTATGGATTGATCTTCCTGAGTGTACCCACATCTAATTGCAACTTTTTTCCTTATCCCAGTTAATTTACTTTTGTTTTACAGATGCAGTCTGAATTACAGTCGTGTGAAGAAAAAATAGAATCGTTGGAAAGACAGTTGAAAGGAATGCACCGGTCTGAATCACTCTCCAACCTTCGAAAGCAACACGAGAGCGTCCTTTCAGAATTAAAATTGCGTCACCAGAATGAAGTATTAGACTTTAAAAAATTTATTGACCAACTTGAATCTGAATTGAAGAGTAAAGTAAGTTGCTTGTTGACTTAATAAGTACAGTGGAGTCTATCCGTTACAAAATCAATTGGTTCCTGGAAGTGTTATCCAAATATGATATTTTTTTAATATGCTATGTTTTTAATATGATATTATTTATTACATCTCACAAATTTTAGAACATGCATTTGGGAAATTCCATTTTTTAAAAATCCAATCTGTGTGATTTCCTCGTATATTTATGTGAACAAAAGCTACTGCCACAGTTTCTGCCTACAATTTTTATAACTCGTTTTTCTTTCTGTTAATGTGATGACTTTTAAAATTAGAAAATGAAAGAATTTTTTTTCTCCTTAAAATGTGTGAGAATATTGCCAATAATACTGCAAACTAAGGAATTTTTTTCTCAGTTTCGCGACAGCTCATAGAGGGCCAAGGCCTACTGTGCCCATCTCAGTTTTCATGACCTTGGGCTCTGCGGTGCAGGAGCAGATGTTTCGGTCAGGTGGTCAGCCGAACGCGGAACCCCCAGTGTTTAGTTCCCAAGCATGCTTATTGCCAATAATATTAGAGCATATATCCTTTATGTGTTGATGAAAAAAATGTACAGCATAGATACAGAATATTTTCTTTCTCCCTTAAAATTTTACAAGTATTGCTTTTGTGTATAAAAATAAGAGTTTATAATTTAATATTTTTTTATTTAATTGAACCGAAATTATCTTCTGTATGTAAAAATTTAGTATTTAAAAAAAAAACTACACATTTTGAAAAAAGTGGTTGATTTCAAAGTGAACAATCTATTTATAAAAATCGCAAAAAGTTTCAGATAATCTCTTCTCTGTGCAATCACTTGTCTGTTATGTGAAACAACAATTATTAAGAAACTACATTATTCTAGGGGGATATATGGATGATGAAATTAAAGGAAAATCAGAAATGTCTAGAGATGTTAGAAATTTTTTTTTCTAGAAAAAAAAAACAACAGAAAAAGAGAAAAGATTGAGAGATATAAGTAATTGAGGACGTTACTTCTGCCATCAGTATTGAAATCAAATGTTATTCAAATTTAATTCTTTTTATCCACTTATATCTATTTAAGTTCTAACAACATGTAGGTAGTAATTAAGTTTTTCTTGAGTTAATATTTGCATTTCTGTCTGCGCATACTAAATAAATTTATTTTATTCTATTTAGTATTGATTTTCTTTATTATTGCTTTATAAAAGGTTATTTTTATTTATTTTTCAGTTAAAAACTAGACTTCCTATAAAAATTAGGCTAAGTCATTTAATTAAAACTTGTGTACAGTTTTATGTTATGCATATAAGGTTTTTTTTTATAAACACAAAACACTTATTATAAGTTAGTTACATATAAGCTATTAAAATTTATTTCTATTAAAAGTTTTACTATTATAGATTTTATTACAAGTGAGTTTTGTCGAAAAAAGCTTGAAAAAAATGCTGTAACAGGGTCTTGATTATAAATTAATAAACTAAGTTAATATCATATGTTAACGGAAAATACTTTTAATGTGAACAAATTTGCTATGCTTCTGGATTCTAGTTTACAAGGTAGATTGTGTATTAAATAATCTAAAATTGAAGCACCTTCCCTTAAAAAAATAGTACTTTTAGACAGGATTTGTTGATTTAAATCACAATTTAAATCAAATGATTTTTTTTTAAAAATCATTGATTTAAATCAATGAATTTTTTTTAAATATATTGATTTTAAAAATTAGAAAACAGTGTTTTAAATTATTGATACTTCTATTATTTTGTTGTCTTAGTTTTAAAATTTATTTTAAATAAATTGCTGCATTAATTCATTTTAGTTAACGAAATTACTTATGTTCTTGGAGTTTGTTAAATTCCAACACATTTGAAATTACATTTTTAAAAATGTTTTGTTTCTTGAGGATGAAAGTACAGATTAAAGTAAACATTTAATGCTGTCTTAATATAGACTTGCATAGCTGTGGAAAATAATTAATAAACATGATTTTTTCAAAAAATAATGCAAATAATTTTAATTAAAATTCCACCTTTTGAATGGAAAAGCGTGGAATTAAAATCTATGTTATATTTTATTGGTAGAAAATGTATATTTCTGAAGCTTGAGGTTATATTATAAAGAAATTACCCTAATATGCCAAAAATAGAAAAAGAAAAAAAAAGGCTGATGAATTCAGATATTTTTCTCCTGATATAGTGTCATTCTTCTCTTCAAGGTCTATTTGAAGCAGTAGGGTTATGTTAGCAGTAGGGTTATAATATGTTTACAGTATCTTTGACATTATCTGATTTTCTATAAAGAAATTTTGTAAAAAAAATTCCAATGAGCTCATAGAATAAAAAAAAAATGTTTTTAACTTATCTATTTTGATATAGAATTAAAAATAATTATTTTAATCTAAAAATATATAGATTAAATATTTATTTTTTGATGAATGTCTACATCTATAAACACAATCTGTTACATTTATTTTGTCATTTTAAAAATCAAGAAATCACAATTTTAAATTAAAATTATGGTTTACTGATTGAAACTTTGTTTTAATAGTCATAGTACAGGGGTCTATCCAAGCCAAATTTACTACCGTTTAGTGGTACCTTCACAAATTCAACTTTAGGAAAAACGGTAGAATAATTTGACAAAATACTTTTTTCTTACAATTTTATTTTTGTGTCTCATAAGAAACGATAAATCCATATTTTTACCATATTTGTGTTGATTTTTTAATATGATTTTTAATTTTCACAAATTATGTCTTAATTTTCACAAAATAGGTACCTTTCAGAAAAACCTAGACAACCCCTGAAATATTCTTTAAATTTTCTATTTCATCGTTAAATTTCAATTATGCATTTATTTCAGAATGGTTCAAAGTTATGTATTATTCTATGCTATGCATTCAAAGTTATGTATTATTATGAAAAATTATTTTAGTAAGTTAGAGCTTCTAAAATATTGTTATAATATAGTTTTAATATTAATTTAATTTTGATTAAACATTTACAAAGTTTTTCTAATCATAAATGAAAGTTCTTACAGTGTATTTGAATAAAAATCAAAAAAATCTGATTTAAATCAAAAAAATCTGACTTTTTTTATTTTTTTAAAAAAAATCACGAATCCTGCTTTTAGAGATAAGGTTTTTCTTTTTCTATCAAGATCTTTCTATTATGAAAATTATATAAAATAAGAAGTTCGCTGTAATAGATAAATACATACTGTTAATTGAAATTCTTTAAATATGGGTGAGGAGGATTTTTTGTGGCATTCAGAAGAAGTGAAGTATTTTCCGTATAACAACTCTGCGAAAATTATTGAATCTGACACAGATGATCTGGAATTCTTAAATTTTGGCTTTATGGTACATTTTAAAAGTTTTCATTGTGTAATTATTTTTTTAGATACTCTTGAATAAATTATCTTAACTTTTTTTATTCTTAATTATTTTTTTTCTCAATGTAATCTGAGTATTGTTTCTAAAAAGAAGCATTATGTGGAGAAAAAATATAATGAAAGAAAATGCAAAATTAATTGTATATAACATATTGAAAAAAGATTTTGAAAGGGTTAAATTGATGCATAGTTTTTCACATCTATATCATTAATTGTTTTTAACGCATTGATATTTCACAATCAACCAGCTATATTACTGGTTTTAAGTTTCATGTATTTTAGTTCGTTATACTCATGTTCAACTTAAAATGAAATCTATTTTGTTTCAGTCTAAAGATGTGATGCATTTAGAAGATAGAGTTAGTGAATTACAAAAAAAATATGACCATTTGGTAATTGAAAAGAGTGAGATTTTCAATAATTTATCCTCACAATTGGAAGCTACTCAAAAACAGTGTCAACAGCTTCTTGAATCTGGTATAACTGCTGTTTTCATTTTATTTTTTCTTTAAATGATTCTTAAAAGTTAATAATTCAGCACAATTTACAGAGTGAATCTGCCTACATTGTTTAAATTTAATACAGTAATACTAAAAAGATAGAATAAATTCCTATTTAGTTACAGAGATGCCAACTGCTTCAGATACAACAAAATATTTTCTAAAAAAAAAAAAACGGTAAGAGAACTACAACCTTAAATTAGCTGATTATCAGTTAATTTTGACAACTTTTTAAAAGGCTCAACATGACTTAACTGTACCAAAGTAGCGTATCACATGAGCCTTTGAATTATTTATAAGTAGTAGTGAGAAAAAAAAACCTATAAATTGAATGTACTAAACCGAGAATCATAAATTAAAAGACTACTACTCGAAAACATTTATCTACTGTTTAAAGCAAGTTGGCATTGTTGCAAATAAGCCTGTAACTAAATTATAGAGAAAAGGCTCTATTCGGTATTCTCTCAATTCACTTTATTTAATTATACTAGAACTATACTTAATTTCTGCATACCTATTCTATGTTTTAAAAGGAACTTTTTGTGCTTTTTCTACTGTCCTTTTTACAATGCACAAGTTACTGTATATTGTGAAGTTTCGATAATTCTAGTTTCATTTCCTGGATAACAGAGTATTAAACAAGGAGAACTTTTTAAACTAAGAGAAATGAATGAAATATCAGGGAATTGAATTAAAATACTCTAAAAGTCATAGAAAATAAATTTGAGTTTTATGTACCTAAAGGTTCTTTATTGTTTTTTAAAAAATGAACTTGTAATAAATTTTTTTTAAAATAAATATTTATTTTCATCTTTAATAGCAAGTAAAGTGTCTTGTATATTTTATGTATAAAAATACGACATATCTGAAAAATTAATAATAAAATTTATTCCTCTGCTTACAAAAGTCAAGTAAACTTCAAAAACCATTTTAGAAAACCAAAGTTTTTTTTTTTAGTGTTTGTGAACACTCTAATAACTGATTCCATTCTTGACTAATTGTGATAATTAGTGATTTGATAAAACAAAGAATCAGTCGGCTTAAATAAAATTTCTACCTCTCAACTGTTGATCCGTCCACTGTACATTAAACCTTAATGTGTACTGTATTTTTCCTGCATATTCTGTATGGTAATCAAAACACTAACTAGAAGAAGGACCAACTGAAAGACATAAAAAATTTTGAAGTTTTGATGTTGCTTTTTGACTTAAAAAACTTATTTAATTTGTCAACATACTTCTGGGATTATTTTATTAAAGGGATTTATTTACTATGAGATAATTATTTTGACCAAGTAAATAATTAATTAAATAATAAGATCAAACTCTTTTAGCAAATTTATTGTCTTTTCTGTTTCATTTAGGAGGAATGATAGATGTCAGTATTTTGAAAGCAAAGGTTCAAGATCTTGAAAAAGACAAGGCCAACTTAAGTGAACAAAACTCTATTCTTAAAGTAATTTTTTAATGTGTGTTTTTCATTTTTGATTATTTCATAATGTAGTCTCTTACTGCTGTTACTTTCCAGAGACAATATCTCTTAAATGTTATAATGTAATTCTATATTCAATTAAGTAGAAATTTAAACAAAGGATCTATTAAATAGAATTTAATATATTTTTGGAAGGAAAAAACAAAATAGGTAACTTGTGTTCTTAAAAAAAAATTTTTTTTTTACCCTATAGTTATAAAATAAGCTAGTAGATCCTCAATTATCCAAATTACATGGAACTAGACTAACTTTGAAATATTTTGGAAGGCACAATACTAAGACTAGTCCAAAATACAGCAGGGTGGTCACAAATTTGTCAAAGTAATTTGATTAATTTTGGAAAAATCAGGAAATTTAACTAAAATACCCAGAAAGTTGAGGAAATTAATAAATTTATTGATGTGCAATATTTTTCCAAAATGAGTTGGTCATATAATTTTTTTTTTCAATGTTAGTATATTTTCAACTCAAATAGCACATATCAGTGTTTAGTATTGATTTTATGTTTAAAAATAAGACTTAACTGAAAATTTTATTAATTTTAATAAAACTTTTGCAACCAATTTTAAAAAATCAGAGAAATTCACTAAAATAAGTTCGGAAAAATCAGGGTCACCCTGTAAGAGAAACAAAGACTTTTTTTATTTTATTAGGTCAAAAAAAAAATTTTAGCTTTCAAAAGAGTTTATATTTTCTCTTAATCTATTAGCCGACACCATATGAAACAGAAATCTTTTTTTAAAACTCTTTAGAAACGTAAATAATATTAATTTTTTTTGCAGGAAAAGATTAAATCATTAGAAGCGGAGCTGCATACAACAGAAGCATTGCAGAGGATTGCAACATCTCGTTTCGCACAAGACAATACTGAAATCTCTAAAAAGTAATATTTTCTACTAATCTTTTTAATTTTTTAAAGCAATAACATTTTTTAAAGATTAATGTCATGCTAACCGTAAGTATACATCATGTCTTACAGTAACTGTAAAACTATAAAATAATTTATTAAAATATAATATACATACAATGCAAAAAAAGTGTTTTTTTTAATGTAGTAGAAATAAATACCATAAAAAAATTCATATGTTTCCTAAAATGTCATCTCATGTGTTTTCTAAAATTGAAATTAATAATGTAATTTTTCTCTGTTTTTTTAAAGTGAAATTCAGAATTGTAATTCTCAGCTGGAAATGGCCTTGAAGAATCTTAGGGCTACGAGAGGAGAAAATAAAAATTTACTGCATGATTTGGAAGAAAAGGATGTCAAAATACACGATTTGCAAAACAAAGCCACCTTTTACGAGTCTAGATTTCATGACTCTGAGGTAAATATGTTTTCTGTTAGTTATTTCCCATTCAGTTAAATTTGCTCTAATCATATCATATTCATTATTATGTTTTTTTTTTCTTTTCAATGTCATTATATAATGTCATTATATGTTTTAGACAATGTCATTATATGTTTTTCAATGTCATTAAAAATTTTCAATGTCATTGTATGTTTTAGACATATATAAATTGAAAACAAAATTTTAAATACAGTTTTTAGTAAATTTAAATTTTATCATAAAGCTATTTTAAATTAGTTCAGTAAAAGCCTAATATAACAAGCACGACATATAACACTTAGCTTTTTATAACTTCTTATATTTATAAAGCAATATATAGGCAACCACCTGCTAAGTTTTCTTCTTAGTTTTGCAAATGAATTGATGAGTCTGAAAGCCAGTCATCTCCACTTTTTTTTTTTTTTTCAAAAATAAAATTATTGCATTTGTATGCATAACCTAGCAATTAATTATTTAGTTTAGGCTTGCTAGTTTGCTGATGTTTTTAACCTTACAATAAGCGATTCAGAGGGTTGTTCTTAGTTGGTATATGCAAAAAAGAAAGGGGGTTATAGTCAACTATGAGCCACATAAAACAAGAATGGCAAANTTTCCTTGTTTTTTAAAGTGAAATTCAGAATTGTAATTCTCAGCTGGAAATGGCATTGAAGAATCTTAGGGCTACGAGAGGAGAAAATAAAAATTTACTTCATGATTTGGAAGAAAAGGATGTCAAAATACATGATTTGCAAAACAAAGCCACCTTTTACGAGTCTAGATTTAATGACTCTGAGGTAAATTTGTTCTCTGTTAGTTATTTCCAATTCAGTTAAATTTGCTCTAATCATATCATATTCATTATTATGTTTTTTTTTCTTTGCAATGTCATTATATATGTGAGAGAGTGTATGTTTTAGACACGTATAAATTGAAAAAAAAATTTTAAATACAGTTTTTAGTAAATTTAAATTATATCATAAAAGATCAATTTTGCTATTTTAAAGTAGTTCAGTAAAAGTTTAATGTAACAAGCACAGCATATAACACTAAGCTTTTTATAACTTCTTATATTTATAAAGCAATATATAGGGCAACCACCTGTTAAATTTTCTTCTTAGTTATGCAAATGAATTGATGAGTCTGAAAACCAGTCATCTCCACTTTTTTTTTTTTTTCCAAAAATAAAATTATTGCATTTGTATGCATAGCCTAGCAATTAATTATTTAGTTTAGGCTTGCTAGTTTGCTGATGTTTTTAACCTTACAATGAGCGATTCAGAGGGTTGTTCTTAGTTGGTATATGCAAAAAAGAAAGGGGGTTATAGACAACTATGAGCCACATAAAACAAGAATGGCAAAAGTTAAGGTTCAGAATTAAGTCAGATTAAAAATTCATAAAAACGAAGGGAAAATGCATTCCTGAAAGATGTGCAGGTGAAAATTGCAAGTAAGAATTGCTTAATAGTAAATTAGATTATAATCTAATATTTCTATGTGTCCCAAAACAGATAGTCGTAGTCCTGAAGAAGAATTCTGTATCTATGACTTAAATAAAGTCTTTATTTTATTCCTAAATAAGAATTGATTAATATTTTCACTTGTTCAAAATAATGTATGGTATTCATTTTAAGGTTTTGTACAAAAATTCGCTGTTTGAACATACTTTTTGTAGACATTTCTGCCTTTCATTAAGTACAGAATTACTTAATTCACTCTACATATTGTAAACTGTCTACTGTAGACTTGTATTTAACGTCAAGATAATATATATAAATAAATATTTTTATTTTGTTATTGTGTTAGTGTTTAACGGTACCTGCCAACATTAATTGTGATTCTTTTTGTTAATTGAAAACGGATCACTCTGAATGACTTTTGATCTAATGATCGAATCTTTGCGTTCTATGACTCAATCTTAATGGCCCGAGAGAATGACCTCAAATATTCTAATAATGACGATAATTTAAGTCGCAAAATCAGACAGGAAAACGTATTTTCTCTGAATAAACATATCTTTTTTTTTTTACTGGCTCTGATTTCGCATTCCCAAAATAACAAGGATAGCCACAATCTGGTAACTATAGTCCCAATAGTTGATCAGAAGAGTACTTCAAAGTTATGACCCCTTAATGTTAATTTTACTTTTTGCGCATTTCACTATATCTCAAGAAATGTTTAAGCAAATTAAAAAAAAATTTCACACAATTATAAAATTCGTTTATTTAAAGATAATTCCATTCAAACAATAAATTTTAGTAAATATTTATTATTTTATTTAATTATGGTCATAAAAATTTTGAATAGTAGGGTAAGAATTTTTTGCATAATTTTAAAGAGCATAATTTTGTTTAGTAAAATACAAAATTTGAGTAAAATTGATTGAGTAATTTCTGATCAATTTTAGTTCAAATATGTGACTTTTTTTTAAATTTAAATTCAGGAACCATTCAACTGATTTTTGCTCAAATTTTGTGTATTATGTAAAATTATATTCTTATAAATGATACAAAAATTTGTATACCTTACTTTTCAAAATTTTTTTGACTTTTATTAAATAAAATAATAAAAAATAATAAGCATTTATTGAAATTTATTCTTTGCTTGGAGTTATCTTTGGATAAACAAATTTTATAATTGTGTGCAAAAATGTTTCAATTCACCTAAAAAGTTCTCGAGATATAGTGAAATATGCAAAAAGTAAAATTAACATTAAGGGATCCAAATTTTGGTGGGCTCTCCTGACCAAACTGTTAGAACCATATTTCCCAGATTGCGGCTTTCTCCTATATTTTGGAGGTCAGAAATCCAAATCCATCATAAAAATGGTATGTTTCTTCAGAGAAAGTACATTTTTGTGTCTGATTTCATAACTTAAAATATCGTCTGCTCTCTTATTAATTAGCATATTTGAGGTCACCCTCACGAGCCATTAAGATTGAGTCCTAGAATGTGAAGATCCAATCATTAGATCAAAAGTTATTGTAAACGGTCCTTTTTTTTGCACATTGTACAACATATTTATTTTCTTTCTTCTCACTCTTTATTTTTACATTTCTAAAAGTCTTAGCCCCAATTGGGCTCAAAATTAGCTCAACCTAGGTCTTACAAGAATTATGAACTGAGAGGGATATTAGGATGTTTGAATTTTAAGATAATGGGACCAAGATATAGGTTGGTAATATTTGATCAAGATTCATTTCTATCTGCGATCAGTATTACAAGTTATACATTTCCCAATATTGGTCCTATATTGTAATCTGATAAGGGTCCTAGATAGAAATTAAATTTAGTCCAATATTTAAAGCAATTCTAGGCCTAATATTACAAAACATACACTACAATACTGATCCCATATTCTAAGTTTAAAATGGTCCTAGATAGAAATGAATCTTGGTTTAATATTGAAAGCCATTCTAAGACCAATATACAAAATGTCGACTACTTTATTTTGATCCTATACTGTAAGCTTATAAGGGTTGAAGACAGAAATGAATCTTGTTCCAGTATTAAAATCCAATCTAAGACCAATATCACAAAATATAGATGCCCCAATTTAATCCATGAAATCCATATTTAATCCATGAAGTTGTGCATTTTACGAATTTTTTTAATTGAAGTCACATTTTTTAAAAATATTGTTAAATTTCATAAAGTGATCATTGTTTTTTTAAATTTTATTATATTCTTAAAATATTTGAAAACTAGTCTTTAACATTACTGGTTAATAAAATTTAAGTTAAGAACAATGAATTCTATTTTTTCAAAACTTTGTGTAGTTAAGTTATTAAATTACTTTTGTAGTCATGAATATTGTCAATCTATGTAATTGAATTTTTTTTTGTATTAAATATTTTATGTTTGAATTATTTATTTCATTTTTATATAATCTAACTTCATTTATTATTTATATATTACTAATGTTTGGTAAAAATTACATGATCAGTCACAGTCTTTTTTTTTTATTTTTCAAAAGGTCTGCATAGAAATGTNACCGATACTAAAATCGTGTGCAGGTTCCTGTTATGGTAGTACATCAACTGCATTGAGATGGTCATCTCATAGTGCGAAAGTATTTTTAATGCTTTCATTTTAAAGGAAATGTTATTATTAAACTAAAAACTTGTTCCGTCTCATCTATAAAAAAATTTCATCCGATCATCCTCTTCCTAACGTCGCCGCCATTTTTATTTACATTTGTATATGTCATCACATAAAATTGAAACGTCATAAAAAGCAAACGATCTGATTGGTTCATGAAAGAAATTGCCTGAACGGTTGCAGATATTTCGTGCAACCGTAATTTCTATATCACATGAGCGTTTTTTGGAGAAATTTCACTTGCAGTTGCACTTACACTTGCAGTTGCACATATTTTCTCTCGTGTGATATAGCCATAAGTTTAAAATGGTCCTAGATAGAAATGAATCTTGGTTTAATATTGAAAGTCATACTAAGACCAATATATAAAATGTCGACTACTTTATTTTGGTCCTATACTATAAGCTTATAAGGGTTCAAGACAGAAATGAATCTTGTTCCAGTATTAAAATCCAATCTAAGACCAAGGTCACAAAATATAGATGCCCCAATTTAATCCATGAAATCCATATTTAATCCATGAAATTGTGCATTTTAAGAATTTTTTTAATTGAAGTCACATTTTTTAAAAATATTGTTAAATTTCAAAAAATGATCATTGTTTTTTTTAATTTTATTATATTCTTAAAATATTTGAAAACTAATCTTTAAGATTACTGGTTAATAAAAAATTAGGTTAAGAACAATGAATTCTATTTTTTCAAAACTTTGTGTGGTTAAGTAATTAAATTATTTTTGTAGTCAATCTATGTAATTGAATTTTTTTTTGTATTAAATATTTTATGTTTGAATTATTTATTTCATTTTTATATAATCTAACTTCATTTATTATTTATATATTACTAATGTTTGGTAAAAATTACATGATCAGTCACAGTCTTTTTTTTTTATTTTTCAAAAGGTCTGCATAGAAATGTTACTTTACTGTAAATATTTTAATTTTAATTGGTTTATGCTTAGTAATTAATAATAAGAAGCCTTTTTCGCAGAAAAAATCAAAAGAATTGGAAGGAAAAGTTCTTTCTCTGTCAACAGTTAATGCGGAAATGAAAACTTCCTTTGAAAATAAAGTGGAGAAATTGGAAAAATTAGTGAAGGATTTGCGAACTAAGTTTCAAGTATGTTTCTGATTAAAGCATGTGTTTTCTGTATTTAACTTTTAAAAAGGAAATTTTGATTTTCATCTTTGAGAAAAATGAAATTTTCACTTAAAAATCACAGGGGTGAAGGGGGCTAGTGTAGACGCATGGGGCTAAAGTGGACATCTTGATTAGCTTTTTAATTTATTGATCAAATCTCAGTTGAACAATCATGCAGTGAATACTTTAGTATAAATTTGTAAAAGAAAGTTTTTAAGGTGCAAAAGTAACTTCCAAATTTATTCTTTCAAATTTATTTTTTACTCTTTTAATAACATATTTTATTTTCAGAATTTCAACTGAAAGTGATAATATAATATAATTGATACTGTTTTTCACCTATTTGAGTATTAAGTTTTGCTCTGTATTGTTTCAATTAATTAACATTATAGTACTGCTAATAAGTTAAACATCCACGCTTTGAATGCTAGAAGCATAAATAACGCATGTACTCCATTTATGAAGCTCCATTTTGGATGGAAGGCTATCTCAGATATAGCCCATAACAATATAGGTGGGCATTCAAAATGGTAGACTCTGAATATTTTTGATATGCTATTTTTAAATGTTTAATGTTTTTTTTTCTGGAAGGAAGGAAAAAGATATATTTATTCTAATCACAAATCTTTAATTTTTCCAGAAAAAAAAATACTTCTCAAATTTCTAGCAGAAATAATTTACAAAATTCAATCGCTAGTAACTGGTTAAAACTACCAGGACTGAATCTCAATGCACTTTCGAAATTGACATTTCAATTAAAAGAAATTCAAATTGCTTATCAGATAAACCAAATTGAATATTAGTTTTCAATAATTGGCGATCAAAATGTTTAGTGAAATGTTCTATTACAAATTTATATTTTGATTAATATATGCTAATATTTATTCTCCACTTAGACTTAAATTGAAATTAATTTCATTTTAGCTTTAGATATACCTTTCTGAATTGTAATGAATGACTTCTTAACAAGTTATCAAGTTTGTCCACACTAGTCCCGTGGACAAAAACAACCTATTTTCAAAAAATTATTATGGAAAAACTAAACTTCTAAGTCCAGATATAAACCAGAGTGCAGTAAAACGTCCAAATTAATACTAAAAAGATACTTATCGAGTTAAAATTATATATTAATAAGGTCTTTTGATAAATTTGAAAGAAATTTCTGCAATATCCCCCTTCTACCCTATTTGTTTTCTTATCATATAGTGAGAAACACTCATGCAGAACCCGTGAAATTCAAATTTTTCAAGTTTCCCCTTTGTTGAAGAATGGCACTTATGAATGGTTTCTTAAGCCTTTATATATTAAACAATAAAAATCATCTCAATAAAGCATGGTGGCAATGTCATCAGTAGAGCCCGGATTTTGATGACCTAAAAAATCTCAATTAATGCCCTTAAAAAGTGCCAAAAATGCCCTTACAAACTGCAAAAAATGTCCCTAAAAGTGCAAAAAATGCCCTTAAAATGCAAAAATTGCGCTAAAAATGCCTTATGACAGGAATTAAATAGAAGTAAAAATATTGAACTAAAACAATGTTTTACTCTTTAAAATTATTATGAGTCGTTTCAAAAAATATAAAGCAAGGTATTTATATTTTT